TAGGTATAAAAAATCAAAATCTGGTACTAAGAACTCAGACTCAAAATTCGTGTTGACTGATGATATCTTTACCTACCCTTTTAGGAAATAGGTGTGATCTTATAAGTTAATTAAAACTTTGTAGATAATATCTTTCTTCTGTAAAAAAATATAACCAATTCCTGATACAGTCATAATATGTTTTTAATGAATTACATAATTAAATGATATAGTTTGGTACAAATGCGTAGTATAAACGTAAAAATGAGAATAGCGTTGCAATTATTTTATGATATCGTCGTCATTAGCCTATCAATGTCCCCACTGATGTGGGGAACAGGCTTCCCTATGAATAGAATAGGGGGATCTGCATATGACATCATGTATCTGTAATATTGGGTCCTTACATATGAAATTGGCGTTTTGTACGGGAGGAATATAGTCATTTATTGTAAAATATATTTAATTAATCTAAGTATGCAACATTTGTTATTTTTGCACTTTTACCATCTCATAGGTAGTTGATTGATCTCTTTACTAAAAACCATGGGGGCGAGAATCAATAAACTCTTTGAAGGCGGTTTGGACTGCCGTATCGGAGTTGAATTTTTTTACTTTGTAATTTTTTTTAAATGCAAATTACAGACTTAATGTAATAGACACTTGGCAAATCACCAACATGATAGTAAAAAGCTCATGTATTGTATGTGGTGATTGACACAATGCTGCTTCACTCAATGCTACACGCCAGTCGTCATCGTTTTCAAGCAAGCCTAAAGCCTTGCAAGAAGACTAATAAGTAGAATGTTCTAAATCATTCACTGTTTTTAACGCTTCAAATGACGTGGGGCCTCGAATTTCATGAAGTACCATTCGAAGATGATAACATGCCGTAATGTTTAGGGTGTATTGTATATAGAGCTAGACCATGTTCTTTTTTAATGCCAGCTATCCATCGACGTTCACTCCACGTTGTCTTCTTTGGAATCGAAAATCAGTGCAAACATAGTATGCTGGTACTTAGTAATATAAAAGGGTTTTTGCAAAACATCAGTACGACACAACTCAAAGAAGGCAAGAAGTGCAGTTTTTGGTGGGTTTGTAAGGGTATCTGCGGGGTTTTGTTGATTAAAATATACTCTTTGGCCATTTTTTCGAACCTCAAGATGAAACACGGTGGGGAAGCGTTCATGAATTGGAAATCTAAAAATTCGATATACCGCCTCTGAACTACTAATACTCGTATGTATACCCCACAGTTTCGTAAATCTTTACTTAAAATTTTTTGTAAAGCATTAGTGGCCAGGGGCCCAATTCTCGCGGCATAGATATTATATCACCTTCGATATATATCGAATGATCTGGCTTTTATCGAAGGAAAACCTTTTTGCCCTATTCTCACCATGTCGCAATAGATATTTATCTACGGATGATCAGTAGACTTACATCGACTGGTAAAGAGCCTTCGATATATAAATATCTATGGATCTTGGCATGTCAATCTTGTTATTTCCACTTTTTTTACCTATTATTTGTTGTGTTGTCGTGTGCCATTGCCAATTATTGTTACCTCAAGATGTTGTTAACTGCCTTCATAAATAATTAGTAAATAAAGAAGTAGGTAAACAATGGTGTCGATTCTGGCATGATTCTCTAAACTTCTTTTTCTTTTTTTATGGCATGCACGGTTTGTGCGTTCAGCTTCTCTAAACTTAATCCTAAATTTAACATCAGTCTCTCTTTTTAATTCTGTAAAGAGAATGACAAGGAAACAGTGGTGTCGATTCTAGCATGATTCTCTAAACCTAAACGTAAATTTGACAACAGTGTATCCTTGTCATTCTCCATACAGAATGAAAAGGAGAGACTGATGTTAAATTTAGATTTAAGTTTAGAGAATCACGCCAGAATTGGCACCACTGTTGTCAAGTTTAAGTTTAGATTTAGAGAATCGTGCCTGAATCGACACCAGTTTATATTAACGATGGATGAGTTGATTCATGTTTTCGTCAATGATTTAGTAAATGACGTGATTGCTGCTGCTGTGCTAAGGCGCCGCCCGTTGTGAGAGCAAGAGGGTCCATTTGAAATGAGGGACGCCGACTTCATAAAAAAATTACGTTTAAACAAAAATTTGGTTAGAAATCTATAAAGTTATGAATGACATTGGTATCGATTCTGACACGATTCTCTAAACTTAAAACTAAATTTAACATCAGTCTCTCCTTTTCATTCTGTATGGAGAATGACAAGGATACACTGTTGTCAAATTTACGTTTAGGTTTAGAGAATCATGCCAGAATCGACACCATTTTCTTATTGACGATACGGAGTTTTTGGCGGGATTTCTGCGAGTGCGGTTGGCGTCTTATTTTAATTATTCTAAAATTCGTTCATAGTGGATATTGTGAAATAAAATTGGTGTGATTTGGTGTTACAACCGTCTGCGCAACTGAAGAATTAGTGGAATCTTTAATATATACGCGGTCAAGTGGACGCGAGAACTTTATTGTAGTGTTGACTACCTCACAGAAGCTTAGAGAAAAAGCCAACTCCATAAATTTCGTGCCAAACACTCCAAGAAACATTAGAATGCGTCACACCGACATTCTAATGTAAAAAAAGAAGATTAATATAACTAAAGGCTAGGCTGTATGGGCATTGTTCCCTTTGCCTTCCCTAAAAAGGGAGAATCTTAAATAATATTGACGTTTCATTATACATAACGTTGAAATTATACACGCATACAATTTAGGTAAAGTTGAGATTTCTTATACTCAAAAAATGTATACTCATATTTAATATGAATGGAATTCATAAAATATCATTTTGTTGCTTGTAAAATTCTGCTCTAATTTATTATTATTTTATATAGACTATGATGTTAACTTAATCGAGAAAAACGGAACGCATTCGGCAGTGACAGAATATCTACGATCATTGGAATATCGAAAATCCACGAGAATAGCATTTTTTACCATCAGTAGATATTTTCAATAGATATCCCTCCTTTCGATATTATCTCGAAGCCGATATAATATCTACGCCGCGAGAATTGGGCCCCTGGTCGGTTCTTTTATTTATGTACTCGCTAACGTATTTTATTGGTTTAATAGAGTGACAGAATTCGACGTTTATTTGCGCGTTAAATGTCCTCAAAAGAACTGGATCATATAGAACTACGCAGCGGTTGTCACAAAACACATCTTCTATATAGCGGGAAGCCGTCGTTCCCGGTTTGTGTTTTACTAAGTAGAGGCCTAGGATACCTGTTAGAGTAATTATTGTTTTTTTTTAAACTTTCGCATGGCCCATGCATCAAATTAGACTTTACTTTTTCGAACCGCGCGTTAAATTTATGCCGTTTTTTAAGTTTCGCTGCATATAAACTATCATTTTGCAATGCATATTACTTCAATAAAAACTAAACGAATTTAGTTAAAATTAAGGCACATTTACAGTCTGTCAAGATATACAATTAAATACTTATGTTATTTATTTATTACAAACACAAATACTCCTTTTTGAAGTTAGGTAAAACACCATCGACTTTTTTATTTTCGACATTACCTACCTGTCAAGTTGTGCCTTAACCATTTGTGTGTTCATTCTTGTCAAGGGGACTACTAACCGTCTCTCCTACCTATTTCTATTCGAGTCGTAAAAACCGAGTACATTCAACCGTCCGTGTGCGAGGGTCATCCGATTGGAGATTCGAATTGGAGAATCGGATCAAGAACCTGATGATGTGCGCCCAGCCTTAGCCTTTAGTTTTGTAGTTAATTTTCTATACTGTCTTAAAAATTTTAGTACAGTTTTTTGGCTCTACAAACTGACAAAGGCAATACGCAAAACCATTAGATTTCCATTTTGTATGTATGAAAGTCACATATTTATTATAGGATAGCAATGTTATCATTTAGCATGTAAAAACTTCTTAACATTTACATACTAAATATTATCCCATGGGATCTTCGCTTGTCATAGAAAATGTTATCATAATAGTTCTGTTCGGCGTGCGCCAAGTGGTGCTTGTGATAAAAGTCCAGAAAAAATCAACAGTGTCTGGTTCAAAAACGATGGGCTTCCGCGGAAGGTTGTTTTCGTTTTATAGTTCTGTACATACGAGTCCATTTGTCGTAAGTGACGTCTATCGTTTATCTTCCTCGCACCTTGTATTTTGTTGATAAGTGAAAGGGAGATCGCTAATCCGCCTGCGCGCGCGCATCGAATGGTGAATGTAGGCCGTGTGCGACCATCTTTGAAGCCCTCGCCACCTCGTCTCGGCAAGCATAAAGCCTTGTTCTTATAGACAACATAAGATAAATTTCATGTCCACCTTAGTTAAACAAAATTTCTTGTCAAGAAATTTTGTTTAACTTTAGTGTTTGTTCTTTTCATAAGCAGGTCTGTATTGATTTCGAGGATATGCTACATTCGGTACTTACTCATTTTATTGATGTAGATTCCAAAAAGCCACCAAATTATCGAAGAATTTTTGCCAGTATTCATCGGAAAACATTTAAATAATTTGGTGTAATTAAAATACTATTTTTGCCTAACATTTTTGCACATAAATGTAAGTCTTAAAATAATAACTCTAACTTAACTTAGATGCAAGTATTCTTTAAGTGAAATTAAATATAAACTAGCTATTAATTAAAGATTTGAACTCGTTTGATTTGAAGCTTGAAGTTTCTTTAATGATTGCCATTTTCCCTAATGGAAATATAATGGATAATCATAACAAATAAACGGCGCGGTGTTGAACTATCCTACGCTCATTCGATTTAGTTCAATGACTAATTTTTATCAGATGCGATTTCACCAAGACGTGATTATAAATCTGACTCAGACCAACAAAAAACGTAGCAAAAAGTCCTCTAGTAGGTTGCTCGGGGCCGTATCGGCTCCACTGTGCATTTCGCTTTAGCACTAGAGCCGTACATTGACACGTTACTCGCCAGTCGGGGCCAAGTGTCGTGCGCGGACGTCCGGCGTATACCATTCTCATGTTGCAGAGTAAGACTGAAGAGGAACCTATGGTTGCCAAGAAGAAGTCCAAGATACCATGCTTGTCTCTGTCGTCGTTCCTCCCGGCGCTAGAGGGTACGGAAAATTCGAGATGACCTCTATTTGTGGCCTCGCCGCTACCGGTTGCGTTCACTCGTCTCGCTGCAACTTTCCTTGGTCAGGTGTCGTGTTATGCGTTTGTGTAATGTCAGCAAGTGATTTTGTGCAGTGTTTTCTACATATTTAATAAAGTTATATAATATACATAGCGTTGTAGTGATTAGTGTCTAACGCAGTGTCATCGTCTTGCTTCACACGGACAACAAAAACAAGTCGTCTCCTTGAAACGTTCAAGTTTAATTGTTTCTTAGTAACAATAACAAAATTGGTACCTACCTAGTTACACTTTTTGTGTTTTGGAGATTCTGACAGGGTTTTCTTTTCGGACCCTATTTGGTTTTCATATGATATATTGGGTCACTTGTTTTTCAATCATTTGCAATCATTTCGATATTAACTAGCTACGTATTTATTTCTAGTTAACTATACGCCATTGCTTTAAGTGTTTTTTCTACTAATATTGTAGTTACAATTATGAATACTGGTTTTGAACAGGCAGAAGTAGTATTTTTAATGATATATCATTAACGTCGATGTAGATTTGGTAATTGAATACAGTCTTTATTGTCAAACTCTATTAACTCGCGGCCAAAATGTTCATAATAAAAACAGAGTTTTTTTTTAAATATCAATAACCTATAATTTGAAAATAAGTTCGATAGGATCTTGAGAAAACATAAGTTATTACGTATCTTAAACATTTTTTCTTTAGATTTCAAACTTTAATTTGAATTCTGTGCAATAATACTAATAAAATATCCATTATTTGCTAATTATTCAAATTCTCGTAAACTCGTCATAAAATGTATCCATGTTGTCGGTACTGTAATACCAATAATATTTTATCCTTTCATTACGTCTGTCTGCTAACCTAGGATTTTGTCGTGTTACTAATGAGCTTTTTTTAAATGTTAAAGACGATATCTTGTTTGTAATAATACTTAAAATTGTAACAAATAGTATCCTATAAGTGGGTCTTTATTTGAGATGCGGTTATTTTTATCAATGTATGTAGTTACTATAATTTTCTCAGTTTCATGACGGTTAGTTTAACGGCAGAGCTTTTGACTATTGCTGCAAAAGGGTACTCTGTTCGAGTCTCGGCTGAGGCTTATATTTTAATAAATGTTTATATTTTAATAAAGCAGAGTGTTATTTTTTAATACTAGCTCTGCTTAGTTCGGACCATAATAATAGTTGTGAGTGCTCAGGACTTTGTTTTTTTTATTGACTAGTCAGCTGTATCGCACTTGCGCTAATTTGCCGGTTGTTAATCAGTGAAATTCAACCACCGTGATTTGAAAAATATAATTAAATGAGCTACCTTATCCATATTTATCCTACTAATATTAGAAATGTGAAATAAATGTCAAAAAACTAGAATTTATTTTATCCCCGTTTTATTAAAATCATTATAGTATTCTAAAATTACGTAGTTATTAATTGGCAATTGGCAAGTTTATACCTACGTAATTTTTGTTGCCAAAGCATCAAATATATTCTATTATATTAATAAGTGTAACTAAAGCAGTGATAATGATTCCGTTCGTTTCTCTTTATGTTATTAGGTATTTTGTGGGTATCAAATTTTAAGAATAATCCATAATTGGTATTATAATTTTACTCCGATTTAACGAATATCGGGCATGACTGGATTGATTGACATTTTACAGTGATTGCGTTGACTTTAATAAACTGCGACAGACTAAAAAATGGCGTTACATATGACAGAGTGGCCAGCATTCTTACGAAATTGATAAATGTTCAAACACTATTTAAAATTATACTTGGTCCAACATACCCGGAGGGATAGAATAATATCCCTCCGGGTATGTTGGACCAAGGGTCAGAATATCCAAGGTGACATAATGTCCGGATGTTATAAAGACTGTAAGTCATTATGTACAAGTCTGAATGTCCAAGAAGTCATAATGTCCAGATTTTATAAAGACCGTTGTCAATGTCAACAAATCACGAAAATTAGCTCATTTATAGGAAGACCGCTTAATTGAGTCCTCGCCTGCGGGGTACAGTGTGGGGGAGGACGAAAACGAGGACCGTGAGAGGTGCGGGCGTCAGGCACATTCTTGTTAAAATTTCAAGTGTCCGCCGCCCGCATTGCCTATTTGCCCCCTTTCTTGTCCTCCCCCAAACCAAGTACCCCGCAGGCGAGGTCTCAGTTAAGCGGTTTACCTATACCTTCTAATTTGCCACTTTTGTCATAAGATTTAATTTCGGCTGGCTGGAATGCAATTGTGAATTATATTTCTGAAAAAAGTATAGATCTCGAAAATTTTAAACATTATTTTGTTAAGGAATGGCTGTCAAAATCATTGCATGTCAGCATGCAATGATAAAAACTAATTTATTTCTATATCAACAGAAAATATAACAAAAAAATTAACACTGTCATAATGTCTAATTAAATTTAACATTATCCAATGTTCTATATTTACTAATTATTGTTTGCACTTATTTATTTACACTGTTTCCGTGAAGAAGAAACTGCAACAGCTTAATATTTTCTTGAATAATATCTTGTAATTTCTTCATTCAATCTTTTATTGAATAAAATCACACTCCCCTTACTACAATCAAATAAACTTCTTTTTATTATGAAATCTTGGTATTGTGCCTTTTTGGGTAATAATATTAAAAATTTGAATAAATTTTGTTTTGTGTTGTGTATCCGCTTCTTGCTATGTCTATTATTGGAGTTGTTCGTTCTATGTCTATTATTGGAACAACTTATATTAGTATAAGTTTTTTAAATTTATTACCCAAAAAGGCACAATACCAAGATTTCATAATAAAAAGAAGTTTATTTGATTGTAGTAAGGGGAGTGTGATTTTATTCAATAAAAGATTGAATGAAGAAATTACAAGATATTATTCAAGAAAATATTAAGCTGGTGCAGTTTCTTCTTCACGGAAACAGTGTAAATAAATAAGTGCAAACAATAATTAGTTAATATACAACATTGGATAATGTTAAATTTAATTAGGCATTATGTCAGTGTTAATTTTTTTGTTATATTTTCTGTAGATATAGAAATAAATTAGTTTTTAACTTTAATAGGATCGCAATTATATTTTAGCAATTTGTTGTTTTGACACCTGGATATTATGACAACTGGGCATTCTATCAAATAGATGTTTTGATAACTGGACATTATAACAATTTGTTCTTTTGACAACTGGGCATTTTAACAATTGGGCATTATTTTCTTGTAATTTTGAGAAACTGGACATTCTGACACTTGGCCCAACATACCCCGGAGGGAATAATAAGGGATATATAGCTTTCTTTTCATGCGATTGTATATTTCTTACCCAATCACGTCAAAATGGTTTAACAGATTTGGCTAAAATTTGGCGTACATATAGTCTGGATCTGGATTGAGACATAGGATAGGTACTTTTAATACGAAAGAATGTTAGGTTCTTGGGGGATTCAAAAGATTAAAGTGAACGCGTAGAGAGACGCGATCGGCCACTAGTAATATTATAAATGCGTTAGTTTGTCTATCCTCTGACTGCTCCCTCTTCAAGATTAAACAGCTGACCCCATTTCAACGAAATTTGTTATAGAGAGTTTGAGTTGAAAGGGAAAGGGCATGGGATAATTTCAAACTCAGATAATATCTTTTATCCTTTTCACCCGCAACGGGGGATGTAAGTTTGTATGTGAAATCTGTTAATACCACGTGTACGAGGTAGTACCATCACCACTAGAAATTTATACTGTAAAGGAAAAATATTGAAAGTTATTTTTCCTTCCAGCGGTCACAGCAGCGGTCACGATGCCGGGAGGAGGGGGTGCCCCTCCCGGGACTCCGTCGGCGAAGCCAAAGGTAAATATTTGAGAACTCATTAAGGACATTTTATGTTAAACACCTACCCACTGTAATCCAGAATGTAACCGAAGTCAAATATACATCATTCTTACATAATGTTTTATCGTACCTAATAGATGAATTACATTTGAATATCGAATATCCCGTTGAGAAATGAAAAAATAAAATTATGATAAAAACATTTCTAGATTTGAGGAAAAATATGGACTTCAATAAGCTGCTATTGTTTATTATTTATTTAAATTAAGACTTAGTATTACTCATTCATAATCAAGTTATTGTAAATTAACAAATAAATACTATCTTATTTGTCAATTTCTCTTATTTTCATAAATACTGAACAATAGTTAAATACTATTGCCAAATTGATTGTCTAAAATCTCACATTAGTAACACGTATTCTATTAACAACATCAGTCAACAAACGAAAGATAAATGGCTCCTATTATCCTGGATTTGGAAATATAACTTGGTTTTGTTTAATGAAGGAAATAAAGAGCTCCGTCCCTTTTATTTTTAATAACTTCATTTCACTCAATAAATAAAACTAGTTTTTACGGGTTAATGCACGAAACTTTATTTACTTATTGACGTTTCGTAGCCTTTACAGGCTACGTCGTCAGAATCAAACTTTTATTTAATCTGTCGAGCTACCTTTGAAAGACTTTTATTGAGCGTTCGGTTATTTCATTGTTCGATTTTTAAAGTTTTATTGTCTATGTATGAATTTATTATTCAATTTACTTAATAAAGTATTTTATTTAATTTTTTTTTTGTCATTTTGAATTTATTTATTTGACCCTAACTGCCGTAAACTACCACCGGTTCCAAAATTGGGAGACCTCTCTGAGAAGAACCGGCGAAACAAACTCAAGAGAGGCTTTCTATCTCCTTCTTATGTTAAATTATGCAAACAAAAAGAACTAATAGTATCTGTTGGTCTTGCAGTGTGTGCTCGGGGTTGGGATTTTATCTCCTGTATAATGGGTTCCCAAGCTGGTGGTATATACCAACCATCTTCCCTATTGAAATTTGGATATTTTTTAATCTCAATAGCCTCGCGTATCATTCTAGGAACGAATCGCTGCTCAGTTGCAAGATCTGTGGTCTATCAAATCTAATGTAATGGTTTGGTCCCCCTAATGCATGTTCACACATTGCTGACTTTAGTTTACGGTAGTTAGGGTCAAATAAATAAACTCAAAATTACAAAAAATAATTTTAAATAAAATACTTTATTAAGTAAATTAAATAATAAATTCATACATAGACAATAAAACTTTAAAAATCGAACAATGAAACAACCAAACGCTCAATAAAAGTCTTTCGAAGGTAGCTCGACAAATTAAATAAAAGTTTGATTCTGACGACGTAGCCTGTAAGGCTACGAAACGTCAATAAATAAATAAAGTTTCGTGTATTAACCCGTAAAAACTAGTTTTATTTAATGAGTGATGTGCGTGAAAACCTAAGAAACAAATTTATTTCACTCATTAAGAACCTTTTGTATTATTTTAATTTAGGGTTGTTTTCCAAGCAATAAAGATACAGATTACTTAGCTCTTTTAGACATTGCATTTTGTTTAAATAATTAAAATAATATTCTCATTAAGGGCTTTGCATTTTTTTTTGCAAATCTGGTTTATAGAATTTGTAATGATGCAAGATTTTTTAATTAGTGTGTAAGATATAGTGTACCTATATAAATTTATTCGGAAATGAGATGTATTCAAATGTATTCTTAACAAAAGACATGATAATGGAAAGAATAAAATAAACGATAATTTAGAAAAAGCAGGGACAAACATATTAAACTAGGAGAGAACATTTAAAGAAGATAATAGACCAAAGCCCTATTTCACCAAGTCGACATAATTATGTCACCGACATAATTTGTCATATGTAACATTTTGTTAGAATTGTCCTTATCTTACTTCAAACAAGGGTATTTTTTTTAAAGCGACATATTTGTCAAATTGTCAGTATTTCTTGACATGAAATTGTGGCTGTAACAATTGCAGTGTTTTCGTTGTTAGTTACAAAATGGCTCCCCACGATAGCTTAAAAAGATAATTTCTTATACAGGAGAATTAAAAAGAATTTCTCCTTTGATATCACAGATTTTGCGTTTATAGAAAAATTAGACATAATAAGATCACCCCACAACAAACCATCTGCTTAAATACGTCCGCGACATTATGCCCACTTGGGGAAATAGGACACAGGAGTAGACGTTGTGATAGGCAGAGATGTGACTTATCCAAGATACAGATACAAGATACAAAATACGTATTTGTATCTTGTATTTCAAATACTTTTTTGAAATTTATTTTGTATCTTGTATTTAAATATTTTTTTAAATAATTTAGTATTTTGAAGATACTTTTTTTTCATAAGATACTTTTTCTTTTCCTATATAACTTTCGACATTGATTTTAAACTTCCCCTAAGTTACGTATTTTTTGTTAGCGTTCACTAGAGGAAGAAGAGTTGTTTGAAATTTGTGTTAATTTTATTTGGTCTGTTTTGTAATGGAGTGAAAGAGAGACCGGAGCTTATTAATGGTATCATCTCTTGAACAAGATCATTCGCAAATTCTGCATATTATTAATAATTGCAGCCTTCCACCCCAAACCCAACCTATCGTAAACAACCTACACTTTCAGAAAACAAAAAAAAAAAATATTGTTTTAAACTTTCATGGTCACTAGCATTATAGATATTAACGGGATTGTTACCATGTACCTTGTTTTTTATGAGTCACCGATATTTCGGCACTGTTGCAAGCGCCATGATCACGGAGTAACTGAAGTAATTGCGGGTAGATGTTATTGGCAGACATATCGGTCTACTCGGTATTAATTGATTCGGGTCCTAATCACTGGATTGAGCTCCATAATCCACAAATTATCTCGACAGAACGCCACTACATACCGAGATTGGTCAGGGAAGCGATTGAAATAACCAAACACAAGAATTTCAATCGTGAGGATGGGTTTAAATTGTCTAGTGTGTGGAATCCAGTGGTTCGTATGTGTAAAAACCGCAAAAATCAAAAAAGTGTCGTTCCGCGATCTGATACTGTGAGTATTGTGTGCCGGGAACAAATGCGAGTGAATAGTGAGAATGTGACCAATGGTAGTGGTAGTATCGAACGCAGTAAAAGACGACGTCAGAGGGTAGACCGATATGTCTGCCAATAACATCTACCCGCAATTACTTCAGTTACTCCGTGATCATGGCGCTTGCAACAGTGCCGAAATATCGGAGACTCATAAAAAACAAGGTACATGGTAACAATCCCGTTAATATCTATAAAAAAAAAATACACCGAAGCTATTATTAATTCATAGTTCTTTATAAATATAGAAGAAACGTGAATGCAAGTAAGATAAATCATAAGATGATAATGATGAATTTGATGACTTCACCTAAAAATACTGAATGGAATTATTGAAAAAAAAAATCCAATCTTGAATATCCAATGGGTTCCGACTGTTAAAGTAGGTTTGTTCCTTACTTAACAGAATTATAGACTACTGGACTTGTTGTTTTCTTTTCAGTTTTTATTTAAGCAGTCGGGTTTGTTGATTTCTAAATTTATCTTTTTTGTTTCATAAATACAACGATGGCATTAAACAATATAATTTCTGTCAATGTAGTTCAAAGATTTGTTGTTAAGCGCTGACAGTTCATTGTTTCAGAAATGCAAAGATACGATCAAAAGTTTTAGTCGTATGCTTGTTTTTTGTAGTACTTGCCAAAGAATCACTAGAGTCTAGGTTCTTTTACTTGGCCGGTAGTCATTATGAAGTATTTTATTTGCTCCGCTTAGCTGTAAGACCAAGAAGCTTATTGAAGGAAGCGATTGTTCACTCGAATAATGACAAAGGCGGCACTGAGGACTGTGCATAGTAGTGATGTAACGAATATCATTTTTTTAACATTCGCGAATGCGAATACAAATGCGAATATCTGGTACCGACATTCGCGAATGCGAATATTTAGCTTTTGTTCAAAATTGGCGCCAATAGTCTATGGCATTGTGGAAGTCTCGTTCGATTATATATTTTTGATTAATCAAGATTATGATTAATTAAACATTAAAAAGTTATGTAAAGACTGATAAACGTTTCATAGAAGAATATTTTTTAGTTTTGTCAAAGAAGATGATTAATATCATTAAAATATAAGTAAAAACTGATAAAAAATTCTCAGAAGAGTTTGTTTTTGTTTGTTCACATTGCATTATTTATTTTGTTTTTTAAGTTCTAATAAAAATTTAAATGTTAAGCTTCATTGCCCACAGTAAAGAAAATAAATAAATAATGCAAAATGCTAAAGTCAAGACTAATATTGTGATTACGAGGTTAAGTTATTTTACTTGCATTAAAAACATAAGAAATGAATGGATTTTGATTTTATGATCATAGTATTATTCTCAAATATATTTTTTCTAATATGCATATTTGCAAAACATTCGCAGATATTTTGCGAATGCGAATGCGAAGATGCAAAAATATGCGAATATCCGCGAATGCAAATGCAAATATTCATTACATCACTAGTGCGTAATAGGGATGATGACTATTTTTTTTTCTTCGTCTATCAGGTTGCTATTATATATTTGGAATGCGGATAGTGAACAAAATATTTTCTTTTTCAATGATATTTCATAATTTTCTTTTCTTCCCAGGACAAGCAAAGAACCAAAGTAGTAGTGGCTCTTTACCCGTTTAAAGCCATTGAAAGTGGCGACCTTTCTTTAGAAAAGGTACGTTTTATAATTAATAAATTTTTAATAAATATAAAAACATTATGTTATTTCAAATTATTAACTTTATCAATTGTTGCAGGGCGCCGAATATGAAGTTATTGACGATTCTCAAGAACACTGGTGGAAAGTCAAAGACGAAAACGGGTATGTTTAACATCTTTATTTATATTGACCAGATAATTCACTTTACAAATTTATTTTACAGAAAAGGTAAAGGTCAAAGTTTGTTCATGTATTAACACGAAGATTGAATATGATACAAACAAACTTACAAACAATTAACAATAAATGCTGGTCAAGATTCGTGTATGTATCATATGGTAACTGTTAAGTAGTTATTAGTTAATATCGGTGACATTTCCTTTTAGGTCAGTTGGTTACATACCCAGCAACTACGTGAAAGAGAAAGAAACCATCGGCTTGCAGAAATACGAGTAAGTACAATTATAAAGTGAAGGGAATATAAATTTTAACGATTGAATTGCATTACTAAATTGTCATATCACTCACTAGAATATAAATAAGGATTTATTAGGTTTTGCATGGAGTCAACCAATCTTGTACAGCTTCGTCATAACAAAAAAAGTTACTGCCACTCCCTATAAATAGTTCTACGAAATTAACAGTAACTTGTTAATGATAATAAAAATGTAATTCTTCTGCTATTGAAATAAGCACCATTGTCTACTGTAAATTCGAATGGTAGTTTGTCAAGATTTGAATAATGTATGTGTTACCGGCCAAACCCGATTTCAGGACAAACTAGTTTTGCCTAGGCTAAACTGGTTCTTCCTATGCGCGATAGGATTAACTATTATAGCCTAGTCCAAACTAATTTGTCCTAAGCCCGATAGGATAAACCAGTTTAGCCTAGGCCAAACTAGTTGATCCTGATAAAAATACGCATACTCTAGGATAAACTAGTATGGCCTAGTGTAAACATTATAGTATATCTAGAAAGTCAAAATAAATAGATAAACTGAATAAAATAATCCGTAATTGGAAAAATAATATTTTTTATTAAAACCATAATGATTCATCGTTACAAGTTATGGATAATTAGTAATACAAAGAAAAGTAAGAAAAGTTTAATTTTTCTAGTAAACTTTTCTTTAGATTTAAACACCTAGCAGTTAAATGCTTAAAAATAAATAAAAACACTAACTATAATTGCTATTTCTTCTTTCAAATGTTTAATACTTGAAAAAGTATTCATTTGACATTGTGGGTTGCGTGGTTGCAACCTACAATGCGAAGAGATGGCGCTGCCTTGCAGCTTAAGGCTAGGAAAATTTGGACGCGGCGAATAGGGCCGTGGTAGCATAATGGTCAGTGCATTCGCCCGGATTGCGAAGGGTGCGGGTTCGAGTCCGGTCCGCTGCCTGGTCTGCGTGGTTTTTTTTTCTAGTAAACTTTTCTTAAAATATTTTGAGTTTACAGTGAGATGAATTGTAAAAGGTTCGAATGATTCGGAATTTCTTAAGCCGGGTAGTTACTCATTGGCGAGCTGTAACCATAACCGTTGCACGCACTGTAACCAAAAAGCATAGTGTGTACGTGGTTCGATAACCTGCTGCGAGAACGGTACGCGTGCGGTTTGAAGCGAGCCAACGTTCACAACTGAGCTACTAGCGTACACACTAGAACTTCGTACTGTATCACGCATGTTGCGGTAACAGATCGCTAATGCGTACCCGGCTTTACTGTCTTCCGAACTCCCGGCAACAACAAAAGAGTTAAACAAAAACCAATTACAGAAAAAACACTCCCTCCACTTTCTTCCAGCGTTCTTTTTACATGACGCGCCCTGTACAAGTCCTGACATGTTTGTTCAATTACTTTCCGCTTTGCTAAATTGGTTTAGACTAGGTCGTACTAGTTTATCCTAGAGTGTGCGTATTTATATCAGGATCATCTAGTTTGGCCTAGGCTAAACTGGTTTATCCTGTCGCGCTTAGGATAAATTAGTTTGGACTAGGCTATACTAGTTAATCCTATCGCGTATAGGAAGAACCAGTTTAGCCTAGGCAAAACTAGATTGTCCTGAAATCGGGTTTGGCCGGTAACATATGCAAAGCTTACGTAGGTGGACCTTTTTGCATAGTGCTTGAAAAATTACGGTCAATGACTTGACATCTTATAACGATAAGAGTGAAAGTTTAATCTCAGCTTTGATTTTATATAGATTGCCCTATATTTTTTGCTGGTATCTATATATTTCTATATAAATATTCCACACTTCGGGTAGGTCATTGGATGGGTGACCAAAAATCTTCTATCTCGGGTTCCTCCGTGCTTCGGAAGGCACGTTAAGCTGTTAGTCCCGGCTGCATTTGCAGTCGTTAGTACCGGCCAATCCGCACTGGGCTAATCTCCCTATTCCATCCATAGGGAAGGCCTGTGCCCCAGCAGTGGGGACATTAAAAGGCTGTTGATGATGATGATGAAACCACTCGTTTAATGGAACTACTGGCCTATTAGTACTTAAGTCTGACGACCTCCGTGGTCGAGTGGTTTGTATGCCGGGTTTCATGGTGTCGCCGACTCGAGAGGTCCCAGGTTCGAGTCTCGGTGGGGGCAGATGTTTGTGTGAATACGTATTCTATCCGTTACCCTAGCATCCCATTACACAAGCCTTATAGTGCTTACTTTGGGGCTAGGCTAATTGGTGTAAGTGTGTGTGTAAAAAAAAAGTCAACGTTATCGTATCTACATACAAAGTTGCGTTAGAACTATCTATCGACAGAAAGTTTTGATTATTTTATTTTCACTTGACTTCTGGCTGTCTGTACATTTAGATGCTTTAATTTGAGATCCATGTCCTTGAAATGTGGTTAGAAAAATCGCATTGCCTTATAGTTATCATTTCATTATAAATTTTATCATTATTTAGTTATTTATATCACATTGCTCATGTACATTTTTTATTATAAGGTCTTACATACTTAATAGAGAGTGGTACATGACCCCGTTGGGGTGTTGCAACAAACTTAAGCTTAACATTAAATACATTAATTTCACTTAATTTTTGATCATATTAAATCACATCAGGTCCAAACAAATTTAAACAAAATCAATCCATTTTAAAAATTAATCAAGTAAATTTATGTCATATCATGTCATCATAATCATATCATATCATAATAGTCAAATCAAAATCATATCGTATCAAGTTAAATCAAATCAAATCAAATTGATAGGTCAAACATAATTAAGTCAAACTAAATCAAATTAAATAAACAGGTCAAGCATAATTAAGTTAAATTAAATTAAATTTATTTTTCATTCATAAATTCATCAACAGAATAATATGCTTTTTTTATAAGATGCTGCTTCAATTTATTCTTAAATATGTTAATATTAGATTCTGTTTTAATAATAACGGGAATTTTATTATATAATTTAATGGATCGGTATAATGGTCCATTTTTATACATCTCCAGTTTAGGTTCGGGAGGAATCAGATTAAATTGGCGGCGAGGATTATTATTTCTTTTATAATATGTCTAATATTTGCGTACAAACATTGCTAATTCCATAATATATATTGATGGGAGCGTTAGTAATTTTTCTTTTATAAAGTATGGCCTGCAGCTTTCTCTTGGTCGTATATTGTATATAATACGCAGGCATTTCTTTTGTGAGATAAACAGATCATGTGCATTGGTACTTTGCCCCCAGAGAATAATTCCGTAACTTAACCATGCGTATGCATACGCATAATAAGCCGATAAAGCACATTTTATATTAGTATTGGTTTTTAGCAGGCTTAAGGCGTAGGTAAATTTCGGTATTTTTTTCCTAATTTGTTCAACATTTCCAGTTCAAGTGTGAATCGATAGTTATGCCTAAAAGTTGCACGTTGGATACTTCTTTTATATTTTGTGAAGTTTTAGCCTCATTTAGATCTATGGATGATTTTTGGTATGGATGGAACTGTGAGTGATTATGAGCATATTACCTTCCAGTATCAAATAAGGAACTTATGTTGACAACACAAGTGAATTAAATCACTGTTTTAGATATATTTTATATTTTTTTGATAATAACTTATTCATTCCATAACACCTACTGTTCTTTTTGATTGTAAATCATCTTCCCTCATCAGTCATGATATTATCACAAAGTACATAACAGCCGCGTACATTTACTGGGTCGGCTTAGAACAAAACGGCATTTCTGTCACGCACACAATAAATACTTGAAAATATAATAATTAATAATGTAGCTACTTCATGGTGAATGAACCAAGGATAAAAGCTAGTATAACAATCGGGGCCCATTACTGAAAAATTTGATCTATTCTTGAATATCTCACGGGTCCCGACTGTCAAAGTAGCTTTGTTCCTTACTTAAAAGAATAATAGACTACTGGATTTGTTTTTTTCTTTTATATTTTAAGTAATATTCAAGTAGTCGGGTTTTTGATTTTTAGAATTTATCTTTTTTAGTTTAGGTAATTATTTTCCATGAGATCCGGCTTTTGTGAGCTCTTTTCTATTTCGTGGTATTATTTTCAGGTGGTATGTTGGCGAGATGTCTCGTCAACGTGCCGAATCCCTGCTCAAGCAAGAGGATAAGGAAGGATGCTTCGTTGTCCGTAACTCTTCTACTAAGGGCATGTACACGCTCTCTTTATATACCAAAGTGTAAGTAATATATTATATATAAATGAAATTATGTAAATAACTTAGTTTCGTAGTGTTGTACTGAGAAATCTGTACATATTGGCTTTGGTCTCGTCAATAATATTTTTTTGTCATACTTTATCCGGTTTCATGAGTTGTTTGTTCAAATTTACTGGACCGGTAATCGAATACAGTGTAGGAAGGCCAATAGCGTATATCTTCCTCCGAGCTGGGTGATGGTAGCTCAGGGGCCGCGGCTCGACAGTTTTTTTTTGAGTGTGTATGCTGTTGGTCGCAGATGATCTTTACAGCGTCACCGGGTTTGAAGAGATCCTAAGGGGACCTCAAGCCGAGAATTGGAGAGTACCTCTAGATGTATTACTACAGGCGGATGGCATCTCCTCACGGGAGGAGTCTCCTCTTCAGAAGGCTTTCTGGTTTCATACCTGGTGAGCGCAACGCCGGTAGCGCCATCTCTTGAGGTGGCGTGTGATTATTTCCTCCATGTTGATTATATGTGGGGCATGTAGATTACGTCGCCACAACAGGACCAAATATCTGCCACGCTCTCCTCTCGCATACGAAGATGCTCAATATAGTTTAAATATTTTTGGTAGTCCACTCGCAAAGATTAAATTATCTAGCAATTCACTTAACTCAAAACCGCACCTAAACAAAATCACTAATAATATGTTAAAAACAGTGAAACTAAAATAATTCAAAACAAAATCTTTTTTGAAACAAGATATATAATTATTTAAGACTCATAAAGTATAAATTCTATTAAGCCTCATCTTTGGCAGGTGTATCAGCGGATTCTAACATTAGTTTTCTTCCTTTAATTTAACTTCTGTATCTTCTCATCTCTTCTGATATCTTTTCACATATTTATTACATATTTTTCATATGTCAATCGATTCTGGTTGTTTTGAGACTTATGCGTGGAATCGCCCATTGTGTGTGTGTCAAATGTGTATCAGAGTGCATTATTTTCATTAAAATTTAATATATTGTACTGTATTTAACAAAATATAACTTTTCGCACTCTTCTATATGAACTTTAATAATGCAAAAACCTTAGGGTCCTCCTGTAGCATGCAAATGTACTTTAAAAGAAGTAAAAACTTTCTCCTTCACATATTATAGTAGTACACATTATAAAGATCAGATTTCTTGTTTCAGTAACCACCCACAGACGAAGCACTACCACATAAAGCAGAACAGCCGCGGCGAGTTCTACTTATCAGACAAGCACTGCTGCCCCAGTATCCCAGAGTTAATCAATTACCATAAACACAATAGCGGCGGCCTCTGTTCCCGACTTAAAGCCACGCCATGCGATCGACCGGCACCGCCCACCGCTGGACTTTCACACGGTATGTACTATAATTGTCTTTTTAGTTATTTTAAAAGAATGGCAATCAATCATTTAGTCTGAAACTTATCAATCAACTCAAGCACAATAGCGGCGGCCTCTGTTCCCGACTCAAAGACTCGCCATGTGACCCGGCACCGCCCACCGTTGGCTCTTCATACGATATGTACTATAATGGTTTTTAATTTAAATTTAAAAGAGTGGTAAACACTCATAGCCCGGTACTTATAAATTACCACAAACAATAGCGGCCTCTGTTCCCGACTTAAAGCCACGCCATGCGATCGGCCGGCACCGCCCACCGTGGTGGAGTTGCCTATTTCAACCCCATCCCCTTAACCGTCGCCACGGGTAAACTTCCTGATAGAAACCAAACACCACAAAAAAAGTTTTTTTAATGTACGCCCGTCTGTGTGTCTAATTTCTACGTCCACGTATTGCGACGCGTCCGAGCAAAATACAACGTTCCACTTCGTAAACATTTAATCACTTAGCGGCGTTCATAGTGTCAGGGCTTTGCCACGTCCACTTCCTTTGGGGCTGTTTCTTGAAGAAAGAATTCATCAAGTAGAGCCCCTCCAGTTTGAGGAAGTTGACGAGCAATTGCCCTCTATGATTTCTGCTTCCAAACCCATGGGATCCTACTACCGATTCGCTGGAATTCTGTACTCCCACCATAACGTTGTAGTGGGTCTTAGTAGTGGAGTGGAGGGCCTTCGATATATCATCGAACATATCCTCCACTTCGTCGTCCGAGTGTGTCGAGGTCGGTGCGTACACTGGCACCACCTTGAGGCTATACCTCTCGGTGAGCTTTATAATAAGGTACACTACCCTGTTCGACACGCTGAATATTTCCAAAACGTTATCGGCAAGGGACTTATTTACCAAAAACCCAACGCCACCTTGGGACTGTTGGTCTCCCCCGCGGAAGTACATTAGGTGGCCCGATTCGAGGGTTATGGTGAGGGGGAGGACCCCCTCTCTTCGGACTTCACTTAACCCTAAAATGTGCCACCCAATCTCTCAAGTTCCACCTCGAGTTGCGCCAGATGCGAGTCAAGCCGTAGCGTGCGTCCGTTGTACGTCGCCAGATTCAGACTATTGTGGTGGCCTCCCGTAGCCCGCAGATTCTTGGCACCCCCCGCCCCGCCATTACCGTGGTCGCCACCGTGACCAGGAACAGCGGGGCCGCCGGGAACTGGGGGCCGTGGTTTGTGCTTTTTATGCATTTAAGATTTGCCCATAATCGCCACGTTGGGCAGGCGGGTTGGCGATCGCAGAACGAAGGTGAATTCACTGATGACGCTGCTGCCCGTCACCAGTGAGATTTCCCTCCCCTACGTCGTTGGATGGTTATACCGCCATCTGTCGGTTTGCCAGAGCCTCGTCTGTTGGTCAACAGGTGCACCACGTGAAGGTGAGGTTGGCTTGGGTTATTGCAGGTGTATTTAGAACCCCTTACACCCTTAACTAATTACCTAAAACCGATATTTTTTAAGTTATAAAATCTTTGCAACTACCGGTATACTTCAGAAATTACTGGTATATTTTTAACCTGTATAAAATTATTACCGGTAAGCTGTCAAGGCCAATGATACCGGTATCGGAAAATACCTGTATTCCAAGCCCTGCCGCCAATAGGTAGTGTTATTTTACTGTGGTCTACTCTAAGGTGGAGGCTGCTTTCTCAGACTCGTCAATTTCGAGCGGAAAATCTGTTATGTCTTACATCTCTTAAGATTTCAATTGTTTTCTGTTTTGTTAATATTATATAGATTTCAAGAAATTAAGTAATATACATTATTTTTATGGATGATGATGTTCGTTCGTTCGCTTACAGACAAATGGGAAATAGATCCATCGGAGTTAGTTCTCCTGGAAGAGTTGGGCGCGGGCCAATTCGGCGTAGTGAGACGGGGGAGGTGGCGCGGCCGAATCGACACCGCCGTCAAGATGATGAAGGAGGGAACTATGTCTGAAGACGACTTCATAGACGAGGCTAAAGTGATGACGTGAGTACTGCACGTGGAAGATTTTTAATTCTCGTAACGTCCGATGTGGCGTTGTTCAAATTTCCATACCAAAACTTCTTGACATTTGACGCGTATCGAGATCGAAATCAACTGTTCGAAATCGAATTTAGAATGTGCTCAGCGATTCTCGCTCAGCGATTCTCGCTCAGCGATTCTCGCTCAGCGATTCTCGCTCAGCGATTCTCGCTCAGCGATACTAGCTCAGCGATACTCGCTCAGCTATACTCGCTCGGTTAAGCTGGCTTGGCTGTCAAAAGCCGTGCGCGTGCATTTTAACTCAGGACTGCCAATTCGTTTCTAGTTTCTACTTGCTTATCGTTCATCGTCGGAGGTGGAACATGTGCCTTAGATTACTGAGCCGTGTAATCATAACAGTTTCATAGGCAGTAATTTGTATTCATGTCTATGATAATAAAATCCTTTTGTTTAAACTTTATCTAATTTAACTTTATTTAACCAATTTCTGGAAAGTTGCATGTAGATCATTTTTCGAAAAATAAGGCCATAAAGAAGTTTCACTTCTTACGTGTGTACACTAGTACACCAAGTTTTTTCTCTTTATTAAGAATTAAATCGAAAAAGACTATGCAGGACGTTGTGTCCCTCACGCAGATCATTTCAAGCGTTATGTGTCTTGTGTCGTCCTTTTCGATTCGTTTCTTCATAAAGAGAAAATGTAAATGAAACTCTTTACGTTTTCACTACTTATATCAGGTCAAGAATAATAGAACTTATATAATTATAAATGTATACCATCTGTTTCATCATGTATTTTTACTCTTACTATCTCTTCTCCACAGTAAACTACAGCACCAGAACCTCGTACAGTTGTACGGCGTTTGTTCCAAACACCGGCCCATATACATAGTGACAGAATACATGAGGCACGGCTCCTTGTTCAACTACCTGAGGCGCACTTTGCCTGACCAGCTGGGGCCGGCTGTTCTCCTCGACATGTGCATACAGGTGATTGTGGCCCTTAACGCGCACGTCATTAGGACGATAATGGTGTCGACTCCAGTGTGATTCTCTTAACTTAAAACTAAATTTAACATCAATCTCTCCTTTTCATTCCGTATAAAGAATGACAAGGATACGCTGTTGTCAAATTAAATGTTGGGTTTAGATAATCGTGTCAGAATTGACACCAATGCCGTCCATATACATAGTAGCTCAATACATGAGGCACTGTTCTGTTTTCCTCGACATGTGCATACTGTGATTGTGGACCTTAACGAACACGGCATTAGGACGATAATGCCGCCCATATACATAGTAGCTCAACACATGAGGCACTGTTCTGTTCTCTTCGACATGTGCATACAGGTGATTGTGGCCCTTAACGCGCACGGCATTAGGACGATAATGCCGCCCATATACATAATAGCTCTAATTTCAGCTAATAATACATATAAAAAAGTTTACCTATTAAAAAAACTTACTTGGTGTATAATTTTCCTAACTTTTATTTTACTAGCCGCTTTTAATATATGAAACTCCTCTTCTTTTTAGGGTTCTGAAGAAGAAGACTCCACTAATGTCCGTCTGTCTGTCTGTCACCAGGCTGTTTATTTAAAGCTGTAAATAAATTACGGAATATCCTACAATAAAGTCAACCAAGGCCGTTTAATTTACATTCCGAACTGGTCCTCCTTTTACGCTATTTTATTTCTTCGCGTTACAGTACTCGGGATCGCGTCGCAATTATAAAAAAAAATCTAATTATGCCAAATTAAGCTGTAAAAACAATAGAATTGAAGTGGATTCTTCTGTGTTCTCAAAATATTACACGCTCGGTTTTCATACAAATTGAAGCACGTGCGTCATCTACTTCTGTTATTGTAGCTCTGAACTTGTTTGACTATTTAATCTTTACTAGAAAAAAATCTACTCGTTCCAGGTTTCATACAGGATTCGAACCTGCATGTTCCACAATCCGGGCGGAAGGTGCTGGTTCGAATTTTGTCTGAAACCACGACCCAGTGGATTTTTTCATGTACAAAAATTCTTTAGATTTATAATTCTAGCAGTTTAATGCTTCAAAAACTTTTTCATTATTTTAATACTCATTCTCCCTCTTGCAGGTCTGCAAAGGAATGGCATATTTAGAAAGGCATAATTATATACACCGAGATTTAGCAGCAAGAAATTGTTTAGTTGGTGATGAAAACGTCGTCAAAGTAAGCTAAAAGATGATGCTTTATTTTAATTATACTGTGAACGAAAACAAATTAGTACTTTTTGCAATACACAATAGCATACAAGAGATGGATAGAAAACTGCGTCACATGAGAAATAAAAAAATGCATAATAATATTATAAATGTGAAATTGTGTCTATCTGTTTGTATGTTACTTTCTTTACGCTTAAACCACTGAACTAATTCAGATGAAATTTGCTATAGAGATAGTTTAAGTCCTGAAAAAGGATATAGTTTTCATTCCAGAAATCGTCCTTGAAGGGGGTGAAACTTTACAATGGGAAAACCATAAAACCAAGTAGACTAAGTCGCAGGCATTCACTAGCAGTCTTTAATAATATTTTTGCCATAACATGATTTGATAAATTGATTTTTCGCGAATATCCTAGGGATTTTGCATAAAAGCGGATAATTAAACAATGGCGATGGCCTTGCGGGTGTTGCCCACTCAGAGGTCTCCGGGTTCGAATCCGGGTAGAGCAAATGTTGTATGATGAATACAGGCATTTGTACCTAAGTCATGGACGTTTAATTATATTTTGAGATTAGAAATACTTTATGTATTCTTTCCGTTACCCTAGTATCCCATAACACACACATATGATGTGAGTGTACATCAAATGCTCCCGGTTAGGGATCATCTTTAAGTTTTTAGCATTAAGGTCTAAAATTAATTCTATTAATTCTGTAACAGGTAGCAGATTTCGGTTTGGCGCGATACGTGCTAGACGACCAGTATACGAGCTCGGGCGGAACAAAGTTTCCCATCAAGTGGGCACCTCCCGAAGTTCTTAACTACACTAGATTCTCCTCCAAATCGGACGTTTGGGCTTTTGGTATGTTTTTTGTATTTGAATAGCAACGATATTAAATACCCTACACCAACACCAACAAAATCGTGCCTGAAATCTTTCCCAAAGGTACATTGGACGATCCACGGAGCTCCGTAAGATGATCGCGTAGTCAAAAACAATATAAGGCATTATTTGAACATTGAAAGTCACCTTAAATGCGTACTGTATAAGGTCTTAATTAAAACGCATGCGTAATGACAGTTCGAAATGCAAGCTCGTAAAATTCTACAACTTATTGCTATATGCGGTTGAATATAGACCTTATTTCTTTGACTCTACGCGCAATTCTGAATGCGCTTATAGCAATATAGCAAGTAGGGACCGCGAGGAAAAGAGACAACCATGCATTTGCATATCACAATTATTTTCTATTAAATCAGTTTATAATAGGTATATGAACAAAATTTGCTTCAAACATTGATACCAAACATTAGATTACCAAACATTGATTAGATACCTGTCGAAAAAACGACACTTTACATATTATAAGTATTTCTTTCGCATTTTTTCGTGGAGCTCTGCGGCAACTTGACTTTTCAACGGTCCGCGCGTGACTGTGAACCGAAAAGTGCTTGAGTAGTGTTCAAGAACTTCTTGATTGGGACACATTTAGAACGCACGTGATGTATCTAGGGTATTTAATATCGTTGTTGAATAGGCAACAATTTTATATTCTGTTATTAACAAAATATTAAAAGTGCTAGTTTTTCTTGCGACAGTTAATCAGCATTAGTAACACACATCCAATAGTTGCAACTGTTAACAATAACATTAGTGCTATTTCATGAGCTACTTGCCAGTTAAAGAAATTTTGACTGAATAAAATATTTTTAAGATTTTAGTTATTTCAATCATATGACGCAACACTTGCTACACTTGAAAATCAATCTTTATTTTGGAATTGATTTATTCTCGGGCACATAATAAATAGTAAATTCAAACTCATGTACGTACTTCACTTTTCATACCTACACTCAGCGGTCGCAAAAAAAACTATCGTGGTACAGTCTGTGCGGAAAGAGAATTTTCCATTTACACCCCGTCCGAAAACAAGTTTCACTTCAATAAAAAAGGCAATTAACACTTAATGTTTAATTGAAACAACAAAACTGTCCACTGAACAGTTTAAACTATTTTTTTTTGTTCTGTTTTTGCACAAAAAAGTTCACAGACGCGTATCTCAAGCGGATGGAACTCGTGCTCCACTGGCCCAAACCGGTCTGAAATATCGTGTCCGTGAGCCGATTCTATGTGTGCGTTGCTTAAGGCATGTAAATTGCCTTCTGTTCTATCTATTTTGTGAATGGGGGCTAATTGTCTAAATTAAGCTGTTTTGGCGATATACTTCAAAGTTAAATATAGGTCTTAATGTGATATAACTTTTCTGTTTTCTAACTCTATGATGAATAAGGGGGCCGCGGACGGCAGAGTTACAGTTAGGATCCCCGCTGCAAACCAATTCCGTTTCCGGGAGGCTAAAGTGAAAACTTGACACGGTTTAATTGATTTTATTGATTTTCCAGGTGTATTGATGTGGGAAGTGTTCACATGTGGCAAAGTGCCCTACGGGCGGATGAAGAATTCAGACGTCGTGGACATGGTACAAAGAGGGCAAGTTTTAGAAAAACCTAAAGGATGTCTCAATGAAATTTATAATGTGAGTTATGTTTTGCATGATACTATTAATATAGGCTAAGGAAGATCTCTGTAATCTATTATTATTTATGGCGCTAGTAATTAGCGCGTTTGGTCTGAGATCGTGGAAGTTAAACAACTTTCGCACTGGCCGGTCATGGGATAGGGGACCAAGAATGTATTATCTTGACTTCCTCCGAGCTTCGGACGGCACGTTAAGCTGGCTTGGTCCCGGTTGCGTCTGCAGTCGTTAGTTCCTATAAATCCGCGTGGCGGGTCTATTTTCCTCGCCCCCACTGCTAGGCCTATGCTATGCTCTAGGGGGGACTTTAATAGGCTGATTATAATGGTATACATTACATACTACTCATACTTCTTGTTTATGGACGTCATTCGGCTCCGCCAATCCTAGGCACGGCACGGCACTTTCGGTCACATGACAATACATCAAAATATACTTTTACTGTCACGCTTTTTAGTAATATTGTCAACTACTGTTTGTCTGAAATTCAGAAAAGTGGTATCGCTCCCAATATTCATGTTAAATACACATTCCAATAATTGGTGCTTTATTTTTCCTACTGCCAAATAGCCTATTGGTGTACACTCCGGCGAACTTCTTGAGCAACAACCATAGCCAAGGAAGCCTATGCAGTAGCAATCTATGTATATAAAACTCAAAGGTGACTGACTGACAGTGATCTATCAACGCACAGCCCAAACCACTGGACGGATCGGGCTGAAATTTGGCATGCAGGTAGATGTTATGACGTAGGCATCCGCTAAGAAAGGATTTTGATCAATTCTACCCCCAAGGGGATAAAATAGGGAATGAAAGATTGTATGAAACTTTGTCAATTTTAAACCGATCGGGCTGAGACTTTGCATGCAGGTATAAGAAGAAGCATAGATGAATGTCATTGTGTATAATACAAGCCTGAGAACAATAACTGTAGTCTACACTTCAGCTCTACACCGAAGCGAAGCGAGGGCGGGCCGCTATTTACATATAAAAACGTGTCTGCGAAGTTGATTTGTATGTGGTTTTGATCAAGAAGTTTGCCACTACCTATAATCTAAAGGTTAGGTTCGGTTGAGGCGGGGAACCCCCTTCGTCTTCAGGCTCTCCCCGGCAGAGGCCTGCGGGGTTTGGACTGGGGAGGTTCAGATCCTGCCTTGCCACAGGTCTTTGCTGATAGCTGGGTACGCCCATGATGGTCCGGGGTATCCCCAATACTTCTCTCTTCCGTGGGAGAGAGGCTGAAGTCGCGGAAAACTCCAGAAGGGTTCCCGTGGCTTCATCAAGTGCTGTTGCCTCGCCCACGCTGGGTGGCACCGTGAACCGAGTGGGGTGAGGGGCATCGTCAGGTTTTTAGTAAGTAGGGTCCCCCTCCTAGGCGGGCGGGCGGGACGGGTCGGGAGGAGTCCCACATAAGTCCGTTGCCATTCCCAGGCGGGTATGCATCACGCATTTTCCTGACATAAAAATAAGGTTTGGTTGAGGCGATGGATAGAGACCGCGAGGAACAGGCCCACGCGATTTCGAAGCAGGAGAGGAAAGATTGGTCGCCTTCGAGCGGGACCTTCTGTGTCTGCCAGGGAGGGGGGGCTTCGCAGCCCCATCGCGAGGAGGTAGGCAACCAGGTTTAACAAGCGGCGATCAGCTGGTTAGCCGCTCGAACCACGGTCTGTGGGACTAGCGAGGTAACGCTGTGAACAGGGAAGCCTAGGATCGGCTGAAGCGGGTTCGGGACGTACTGCTCGTCGAATGCAGGATGGTTTTACGTCTGCCAAGCTTGCGTGAGCGCACGTCAAAGTATACCTGCACCGACGAGATTAGCCCTCGAGCCGCTCGCCGCTGGCCGAATGCACCACGCAATTACCTGCTTTGCGGGGGTTTGTTAACAGCTAGCCAACGCGGCTTTGGTCATTGTTCGTGGATATAAGGCATTCTTTCTCCCCGTCATCGAAAAAAAACAAAACAAGGCTCGGTTACCAATTGTTTTTTGATGTATAACATCTTTCCTCTTGCTTTCCTGCAAATTGTGGGAGTGATTTCGTGAAATGGGACGGAAGTCTGTAACAGGAAGTCACGAAAGCGCGCGCTATTTGATTTGATTTTAGAACATAATGTTCAAATTGCTTATTCCTTTTTTTGGTTTGATTTTATTTCTTTTTTTACTAATATAAGGTGAGGTTTCAAATGTTACACATCACACGCGACTACTGTAAGGCTCGCTCTTTATTTTTTTAAGTTAGTTATTAGTATTTTTTTGATGCTCATTTAAATATGTGCCTTTATTTTGGCGCAGGTAATGCTCGCGTGCTGGCGGCACACGCCCGACGAGCGGCCGTCGTTCCGCACGCTCAAGGATGAGCTGGCGACGGTCGCGCACGCCGTGCTAGCCGACTGACTGCGCCTGCTGCTGCACCTGCTCCGCCCCGCCGCTGCGGCCTCCGCTGCAGCCACCGCTGCGACCTCCACGCTGCCCCGACAGCGGCGCGTCCACGCCACCTCGCCTGTTTGACCCGCGTGAGAGACACACTATAGAGATCCGTTCGTATCGAACAATATTTTAACGATCCTCAAAACAGTAGATCCGTTCGTATAAAAAAAATGTTAAACACCATAAAGGTCCGTTTCTTATAAAAATGTGCTAATGATCCTCAAAAAAGTAAAAGGATACAATAGCAAACCTAAAAGGTAGATTAGGTTAAAATACACTAACATCCGCGTCCACACTACCCCGCAGCAACATTACCGTCTTTCACACTAAAGCCAGTCGGTCGGCCGGTCTTCAGCAAAGGTTTTTTGTAAACATTCAAAGACAAATTCACAAATGTTTGTTTCTGAAATACGTTTCTCTACACACGCCGTCTACTGCTCATGCTGCTCACGTGGCCGTCGTACACAAAATACACGGGGCTGCATTCTTAACCTACGATTCAGTTGCAATGAATGGAAAATTTAACAAAATTGTTTCGTACATTTTGTGCCAAAATTTAAACGTCGGAGTGGAAAGTTTTACTCGGAGCGTAGATTTGGAACGTAGCCCCCGCTAGCAGTTGTAAAAAAATCGCCGATGAAGCAATATCACATTACTACTAAAGGGATACGACGCATCAATACCCTGCCTCTCGACCCGCGCGGGGGTGATTTGTGGATGTGTTTTCCAGCAGGCTCGTAAAGCAAAAACTTTGTTAATGCAGACAAATATGTGTATTTAAACAAAGTTTTGTGTAAACGATTTTCATGAATGATGATATGTTTTTGTTAAATGCGTAGGGAAAAACGCGCGCTGGAGGCTGGCTTGATAGAGGTCCGTTCGTCCATACGAATGTTCCATAACAATATTTTTACTATTGTTGAAAAATATCCACATACACACCATAAAAGTCTGTTAAAAAATCCAAATAACCCGTTTATGTTACTAAAGTATAGTACAAGATTTTCTGTCGTTGGCCAGAGTAACGATTTTATATAAGACTGCTTTTTTATTCTTTGTAGTTTTCCATCTTTGTCTTTCGTAAGCGATTTTGTGATAAAGAAAGTACTCCACTAACTCGCATCCGTGAATGTAGTGCTGGTAAGTACTCGAGTATTCCGAACACTTATTAGATAGTGACTTAGAATTTTGAACCTGAAATTCTTAAAAAAAAGCTCATGATATTAATTTAAAAAACAATGTAATTTAACAGACTCGATAGAATTCGAGACTAGTAAAAATTCTGCTAGCTTTTTAGAAAACTTATATCCATTTTTCTTGTTCAGGTCTATAGAAAGGATATGTGTATACTGAAAATTCTATCGTACTTTAAGAACTACTAAGATCCGAGATCTTATTAAGGCTAAGCACAGGGTTTTTACAGTGTCAAATTCAAATAAGTAGTGTATTGTTGGTATTTATAGCAATGCGGCAGTAATAATTATAATCATATTTTCTTTGAGACAATAATTATTGGGGCAGCCAAATTAAATGGAGGATTTTAGTAATACCTTGCGATGACGTCTTTATTACTATATTCTACATTGTAACAAAGAGCGAACTGGGCACCTACTGATAAAGACTAATTGAAATAAAAAAAAAGTAAAAATAAGTATTGTATTAATAAAAGAACATTAAGTTCAAGAACATGTAAACACTTAATTCTTTTAGCAGAAAATATTGGACTTCCTTCAAATATAAACTGTTACATTAGTTACTATGATTAATTCCGAGCGTGCTTATATATAATTGAACTCAATTGTATAATGTTGATTGAACCTAGAAAGTGGCACGTATGGGTCTCAAATAAATCCTTGAGTCGTCACTTAAATAGAAGCTCGATTGGTGTTACCAGTATATTTTTAATTTGGTTACTCATGCCATACCTAAAGGGTGATAATTATGTATAATAAGTATATCTTGTAAACGTATCATTATTACGTGAAATTTTGGCAACTTTTGTAAAGAAATTAAAACGAATTTATAGCGAATAAATAAGAGCATAATTAAACGTCAATATTTCATTTTAAAAGGGTTAATTGATGTCAATAAGATAACATAATATTTTTATCCCCATATCGCTCCAGTATTAACCCACATTCGAAATAAAAGATCTCGTTTATAATTCTCAAATCTAATATTGATAGTGTTTACCGAGTGCAATGTAATTGTATTATGTATAGTCGCGGGGCTTTGATTATAATAAACACCGTACTTATTTATATTTTGTAAAATTACCGTCCACATTACGAAGGAAATAAATTTTAATGTAAAAAGTACACTTAAAACTTTAATTGCACCAAATATGGACTATTCCATTCACCATAGTAGTGGGAAATGTAGTGATATAAGAATTTAATACAATAGATGAATTATTATGGACGTCCTCTGGTTACACACACATATATATATTTGATTTTACAAATATAATATAAGTAAATGTCACATGAGGTTTAAACTATACCTTAACATCCTAATTAATAAACAATATAATAGCTTCGACTAGTTACGCCGTGTTTTGTTTGTAGCACTCATGTGCCATTTGCCATACAATGAACAAAGACTAAACATGAATAGCTTATCCAAGCTTAGTCTTCGTTTATTAATGAGGGGGTTTAGGGTATTTTCTAACTTTAACCTTGGTTTGTTAATAAGCGGGTATTTATATACAGCTCCTCTATTTTTATTTAATTTTGGTCTATAACTCAGTAAAAGGACAATCATTTTCATATTACAGTTAAAACTAATTCTTAGTCGAAAAATCTGCAAGAGAATAGACGCCAAAGCATTTGCATTCTATACATTTTTTTCCAGTCTTGGAGGCTTACATAACTTGATCAATGGGGCTTGTATATACTAGTATTTCTGCCTAGGGATTAGTTTTGACTGTAACAAACACAAGTCAATGAATTGGAAAGATTGAAAATACGAATTACTATATATAATTAAGTTTACTATACTAGGATAAATGTTAGAATAATTATCACAACATTTTTTTTTTAAATTTGAAAATAAAAGTCAGTACATATAATTGCCAACGAAAGACCTTGCAAAATGTTCTATTTATTTCTTGATTTTCTTAAATCGAACGTGGACAATAAGATACTTCAAATACGTTATTTGCAATTTCGGAATATATGTGGCAAAACTATAGACAGGTATCAAATCAAACACGGTATAAATCTACGACGTAATTCTAAATATATCACTGCCAATTATTTCCATTAAATCCATATAAAACCTTATATAAGGCGAGATTGTGGTCAAACGCATTGCCTATTATGCATAAAAAAAAATTAAATATCTTGAGGCCTACGAATTTGGAGACGTAATTACAGTCGGTAAATGGCATTAGGTATTTATTACAAACAACGTGCACCTGTGTTACTCAAGTTGTATTTACCCGTACAATAATTATAATATCTCATTAGAATAATATAGTCATGGCACAATTAGTCTCCAGCATATTTATTATGTTCCATAAACGCTTATGACAATGCTATTTTATATCATAGTACATTTGTGTTTACAACAATTTATTATGCACCCTTTACGGCATCATATCATTACATTACTTAGTTTTAAAATGTACATAGTTATACAGTAGTTGTTTAATATAAATTCGGTATTATTAAAATTTTGTTATAATAATTATGAAACATACATTTGGTTCCTTTTTTTGTTTTTCGTAACACAATGTCACTGCATTTTTAACAAAATTTTTGTGTGTCACAAATCATTGAAGTAATCCGATGTTTTTCTTAATTGAAGGCTGTTATTTACTTTTAGGCATTCCTTCTTTAAGAACTAGTCATGAGTTAGAAGATATAATGAAGAAAATAATGCTCAAATAAGTATGTATATTGGGCACTATTGTAATCGCAGTCTTTGTGTGGTGATAAAGGAAAAATCAATTACCATTACATTAAACCAAAATGAAATATCATTAGGATAATACAAAGTTTGTCAGTTTGTGTTGTTAAACACAAGAAAAATACTGTAATATTGTAATAGAACTTTGATATATCGAACAAAATTCTTGGAATATTCAAAAGTTACATATTATGATGAGAGTTAAGACTCTGAATAGAGTCAGCCCTTTTAGATGAGTATTACTAATTTTATAGAAAAATTCGTGTTTTGAGTATTACACTGAACTGAACTTTACAGATGTAAATCATAACCCAATAAAGCCATGCGTGGATATTATAAGTATTTTTTTTAATCTTCTTAAGGAATTGTTAAGTGTTGGGTCGTGTTTGACGTGTGAAACTGGCCTCACCAGCAGTGACACTTAAAAATGTGCCAATTATTTCCATTGTAATTTATTTAGATTTTTCCATGACTGAATAAGTAAAATTCGTCAAGTATTTTATCTGTCGTAAATATGTTTTATTGTGATAACATATTATTATAGTGCTTCGTATTAGCACTGATGATTTAGTTGTATGTATTAGCATTAGGTATTTTATAAAGTATCGTATTGATGAAGTACTATAATGTTATGATAAGAATTCTATAACAAGAACAGGTAAAAATATAGATTGAACATGTAAACAAGTACGTCTTGTTTAAAAATAGTTTATTTGTAATGTGCTTTGGAATTGTACAGCAAGAATTAATTTGTATAACTGTTTTGTAAAATTATTAAGCCAAGTAATAAAATAATTATTAATAAAATTAAGTGTTGTCATTAATTAAAACCACGATGAACAAAATCCACCGAAATCAACACACACGCACGGCGTTCTGCAGAGATTAAATCTAAACAAAATAATCTACATGATTTTCAATAAATTCCGATATCACATTTAATTGAGTATCTTGAAATGTTGTTGACTATACAGCAGTACTATAACTAGATAGAGGAGCGCATGTGAATAGTACTATGCTTTTTTGATGCTAACCGTCGTCGTATTTATAAACGAATATACACCCCGGCAAACTTCTTGAGCAACGACCATAGACAACCGCTCACGTTCCCTCTTACAACCTGGGATCCTTTAAAAGAGGCGTGAAGAAGCAACATGCAGGGCGGCAGGGTGAGGATGGCTGGTGTGTCAGTTAGAACTGCTGTATCAGCTATTTTCGCGCCTGGACTTCACCTTCACTTAACATCAGGTGGGGTGGAGTTATTTGTCGGACCTATCTATAAAAAAAAAGACAAGGAATCCGGCGCTGTAGCAGTTTTACATACAAAAAAGTATACTGCACAAGTTCATTTGTCTGTAATTTTGCTCAAGAAGTTTGCCGCGACCTATTTTAGACATTACATCTGCTTAAGAGTGACTTGAGCAACATTTTTTATTTCATACTTAAAAAAAATGATCAAAGTAAGAATTGACAAAAAATTAGAATTCTTAAAACTCGTGTCATGTTTTTATACACACAGCAATTAGCCTAGCCCCAAAGTAAGCACTGTAAGGCTTGTGTTATGGGATACTAGGGTAACGGATAGAATACATATACATATTGTAACATTTATAAGTATATTTATATAGAAATACATATTAAACATCCATGACTGGAGTACAAACGCTCGTATTCATCACACAAATATCTGCCCCGATCGGGATTCGAACCCGGGACCTCTCCAGACAGCGACACCATGAAATCCGGCGTATAAACCACTTGGCCACGGAGGTCGGCAAATTAAAGAAGCTAATCAAAAATGCCGACGGAATACATTCTGTTTCTCTCGCAGGTTACTAAGGACAGCATGTGCGAGAGGGACAGAATGCCTTACGACGTCATTTGTTATTCGTTTTCTATTGGCACGAATTATAATTATAACCAAATGATAGTCCCCATTTTAGTTGCTAAGTAAACATTTGTTTTATTGAACAATTATTCTACAGTCTATTTACTTTGGCGTGAGACAAAATGTAAACAAAGAATCTGAGATTCTCAAACTTTTATAATGTCAGAAAATACCCACTAGACCATGATTACGTATAATTTATGTAATGTAACCTACAATTTATTAACAACTTTAAACTTAACAGAAAAAATAACAACAAATAAAACAAGGAAATAACAAGAATTTAATAAATATGATAGAATATGCACGCTCGTGCCAACAGGTTGATCGGGAGAGTAAAGATGGCTAACGTAAACCAACCGATTACAAAACACAACACTTCAACGTAAAATACTTAAATATCTTGTCTACTCTTAAATTTTGTTGTATTATAATACGTCATAAGTTTGGGAATGATTATGTTTTTAAGTCTTTTTCCATGTCAACTTCAGTTGTTAAAATACTTTCACCAGCAAAATAAAAATATACGAATTTATGATGAGTTCGTACGTTAAATATGTACGAAATATTTTATTTTCTTATTAATATGTACGTACCTGATTTTAAAATAATTAACTTAATGTTTCCCTGCATTTCCTATATAAATAGTATTTAATCTTTACTTTTGTCAAACGTGACCTTAAAAAGTATCCTTTTTATGGTTTGTTTACGTTTTGTCTCATGCCAATGTGAATAGACTATAGTGACAAATACCGCGTACAAAAAGTCCCGCGAACAAACGGGGGACCGGACAGGACAAAAGTACGCAGAAGGCCCAAAAAAAATAGAACTCGAACTTTACTTAGCGTTGCGTGCTAGTTCCGATTTTTACAAACTGAGCCAGTAATCTCTGTAAGAATGTTTTCTCTTCTTTTTAAACTACTACATCATTTTTGAAAAATAAATGTATCACTACAAAATTATCAAGATACCAAGGACTAATATTATGGCAACATTATATGTTAGTCAACCAACAAAGTACCAGTATCAATATTGTTGAACTTACAACAATACACAAAAGATAAACAAAAAATGCTTGACAACAGCCTTTATTAACTTAATAGTGTTACACAAATAATACGCAACAAAGCATGGAAAATAATGCTTATTGTATGAGTGACGCCAAATGAATGTAGATTTTGTTCTCGATTTAGGGTCTCCGGTTTTTTTACTCCATAGAACTAATCCATTCCTTTTCGACACTCACAAGCTCACGCCCAATACTGGTTTACGTTTGGTTGGTTATTACTTTACAGGACTCAACTCACAACATTTGCATTAGTTTGAGTTTATAATAATAAATTAAATAGATATATCTATTTTTTATATAATATAAGGTTATCGTATTAAAATCAGCGGTCCTATACCTACTATGAACTTCAAGAACACAATGTAGCTTTTTTATTTGATTTGTCATATTGATATTCATCAGATATCGCTAAAATGAAGTACATACAGGCTGATCCAATTAGTCATGTCAACAATTTTTTTTTAGATTTCTCGCTCCTGGGGGTATCCGAAAATACCCCATATATGTTCCGCGATTTTTCTTAGTTTTCGAGTTATATTTTTTTTTGTGTATTTTTAATGATTTCTGCCAGCGAGGTTTCAAAAATCATATCTTTTTTCGCAGTATTTTTTTGTGACAAAATTGTCTTGAATGTTGTTTTTTTAAAAAAGACTGAAATTACTTAAAGTTACCCAGAAAGGGCTTGAAAGTTGGAACTTTAGTTTTTAGCAGGATTTACTCAAAAGGACAATGGGCAAAATGCACCCAGCTCCGCCAACAATGTAATTAGTATGAATCGATAGATCTATGAAAAACTAGCCTTTTTTATTATGACACCGAAAATAAATATCCTGGGAGTCAAAAGATATGACACCGTAAAAAATATCCTGGTAGTCAATAGATATGCCACATGGGCATATTTAAGTAGCTGAATAAATTCATTTTATAATACCTTCATTTATATTATTAGTAATCAAAATAATATGCCATATCGAACTATACAACCAGATATACGACAAAGCCTGCCGACTATCCTGCGCTTGCTCTTACTGAGACATTTCAAAACGGTTTACGACTGCTGAAGGACTACAGTTGCAAATAGTCGACTCGTCTTACTTCGTTGTGATTGTGCGCTCCTCCCTGCTACCTGATTGATTTTTATGTAACACGCTTTGGATATTGGAACACGATTATCGGTTTTGTCAATTAGTATGGATAAACTGGAATTATGTGTTCTCCGAAGTCCGAAGCGTGGACAAGTATGTGTAATCTGTGGTCGCTCCGTTTTACATAGAAAACAATTAACTATAACGAACAGAATGTTTAAAAAAAACCCAACCCATGCGGGGATTCTTGGATTTACTCTAGCGCGGCAGAATAATATAAGGGGACACCCTTGCACCTTATGAAGTACTCCCATGATTCCTGAGCATCCTATGTAGGGTCGAACTAACTAACTAAATTAATTCCTTGTTTCATAATAACTTACTCAGTGATAACCAGTATGGTTTCCGGCCAAATAGAAGCACAGCTACAGCACTGACAATGTTTTCTAATGATGTAAATGGTTGTTTAAATAATCAGTGTGTTGTTGTGACTATCTTTGTTGATTTCAAAAAAGCTTTTGATACTTTGGAACACGAAGCTCTCTTACAGGCAATGGAGGAATGTGGGATCCGTGGACCAATGAACAACTGGTTCCGCAGTTATTTAAAAAATAGATCACTTAAGGTATCAGTGGGAGGTGCCGAAAGCGATGAGGGTAAGATTAAGTGTGGCGTTCCAACTGGCTCCATTTTTGGACCTGTTGGATACATAATGCACGTCAATAACATGACAAATGTTATAATTTTTATTATTTTTAAAGCATGTAACTGCTTGATGTTTAAATCTAAAGAAAATATAACTAGAAAAAATTCCACGCGGACCAGGCAGCAGACGGGACTCGAACTTATAACTATAATTGCTATTTCTTCTTTCAAATGTTTAATACTTGTAAAAGTATTCATTTGACATTGTGGGTTTACCTATAATGCGAAGAGATGGCGCTGCCTTGCAGCTTAAGAATAGCTAGAAAGAATTTCGACGCGGTCCGTGAGGGCCGCGGTAGCATAATTGGTCAGTGCATTCGCCCGGATTGCGAAGGGTGCGGGTTCGAGTCCCGTCTGCTGCCTGGTCCGCGTGGAATTTTTTCTAGTTATATTTTCTTTAGATGACAAATGTTGTAAAGAAAAGTAGAACTTATATGTATGCGGATGACACGTGTATTGTGTGTAGTGGCAGGGACATAAATGTTGTGCAAAAAGAAATACAGGGGGACTTTGGACTATATTGCCCGCTGGGCACACGATAACGGAATAATATTAAACCTGCAAAAAACCAAATGTATGCTTATTCAGTCACCCCATAGCCATAATAAATCAACAAAGATACTCATAAGAGGACACTCATATGATTGTTTACATGCTAACGGGACAAATTGTAACTGTGAGCCTATAGAACAGGTACAGTCGTACAAATATCTGGGTCTGACAATTGACGAAAAGTTCTCCTGGATCTTACATGTAGATAGTGTCTGTAGAAAATTACGCAGCATACTGTGTAAGTTAAGCACCCTCAAATACATGGTAAGCAAAAGCGTTTTGTTTATACTATACTTTGCATTAGTTGAGGCAGTAATCACGTATGGGCTGGGGGTGTATGGAGTCACTTTTTCCACCTATTTAAATAAAATTAAACAACTTCAAATAAGAATCTTAAAACTATTAGTCAACAGGAAAATAAAAAAATCATTACAAAAAGATTACGAAAAATTATTCGCAATATGTAAATTATTACCCATAGAAAGTAAAGTAAAAATATTAATTATGATTGAAGAATTTGGCAAAACAGAATATCGTAAGGAAAGACGCCATACATACCCAACTCGCTTAGCAAAGAAAAATAAACAACTGTTAATACCAAAAATAAATAACTATTAAGGAAGACGTGAAAGACGGTGGATGGTACCCACCTTAATTAATGAATTACCGGAAGATGTTACTAAAGATGCGGCCTCTAGGAATAGTCTTAAGCATAGACTAAAGAAACATTACCTGTCACTATGTCCATGACCTGATTAATGTATGTCAAATGTTTAATTTATAGATTATATTAATTGTTACTCATTCGCGCAAAAGCTACTGAATGGATTTTAATTAGATTTAGGAAGCATATATAAGTTTGGTACTGATAGAAAAGAATAAATTGTAAATAGGGAAAACAATAAATATAAGTTGTCACGGGAACTGCTGCCGACAAACTGCATTGTAGTTTGGCAGAGAAATATAGATAATAAGTGTTTTTCTTTGTGGAAAAAAAATTAAAAAAAAAAAAAATTAATGTCTTTCGTTATAGTACTTGTAAATATTTAACTTAAAATAACTAAAGACCCCCGGGATAGAATTTGATGCGCTTTGGCACAGATGATCTTGACTATAATACCTTTCAAATAAATGTAGTTTAAGCCGTGGCGGACATGGGTGCAGTGTCCATACATTTTTGCCCAATGTCTTTTCAACTTCAATTTAAAAATACAAAAAGGAGTTTCCATAGCTTCTGCCTAAAATTAAAAACTCCGCATGCTTCTAAACTACCAAATAACATGAAAAATATTGTACGTAATCAGCCTTTTTTGGCCTTCGAAGGCGCATAGGCTAAAAATCATCGAAACACTTTTTATCATTGTTATGGTAAATTAAATTTAAAAATGCAATTTCAAATTAAATTTAATTGAAATTCTTGTAAAATAACTTTAGCATGTGGAATTTTATAATAATTTCGGTTTTACCGCTAAGATTTGAATTCACTTATTGGACTACCCTGAAGTTGTAGGATAATATTGGTGCCGATTCTGGCGTGATTCTCTAAACTTAAAACTAAATTTAACAACAGTCTTTCCTTTTCATTCTGTATAGACTCTATACAGAATGAAAAGGAAAGACTGTTGTTAAATTTAAGTTTAGGTTTAGAGAATCATGTCGGAATCGATACCATTATGATAATTAGACAATGGCGATTACATTGCTCAATCTTACTGTTAACGAAATTATTTTTCTGGCGCTTCGCCGTCCATTTCGTCCTAACACATGTGAAGCCAAGAACCCAAAAATATTGTTAATAAGCCAAGGTTTGTTTTCGCAATCTTACTGGCAATTCGCGTTTTCGCAAAAATCCTATCTCTTTTTTGTAAGATTGAGGAATGGTATCGCCCCTGAGTAATTTTCCGTAATTTTTGATTTAACAAATACTACGACACCTACATACACAGCATAGTTGCCATCTTGCTTCTTCACTAAAGTATCACATTGAGCAGTTTATAGTACGAATTCTGCCGTTCACGGACAATAAAATATAAGAAATGGAATTATTTACTTCATCTAACGTTATTTTGTGATAGGTAGACTGTCAAGATGTGTAGGTATTCAATCCAGTGACTCACATAATTTACAATATTAGAAAATTTCAAAGTAATCAATAATATAAATAAGTATGACTTGAGCCCGTAAACTTATTTTCAATCTACAGATTCTTGATCCTTACTTTTTTATGCTATTATAGTTTTTTCATATTATGTCTGAGTTTGAGAACCTCCTCCTTTTTGAAGACGGTTAAAAAAACATGATTTAATAATCGCAAACAAAGAAACGTAGTGCAAACGGCGCATTGACTGCAACTTAATGAGGGTACAAATAATAATGTAGTAGATTTTAAATTTGGTGCAATTTTTAGTAGTGGTATTTCCATGACTTGGCCTTTAGGTGATGGCGCAGCATAGTACTTATCTCCCAGCTACTTACAGCAGATATAGCGTGTTTGGGTGCTCTTAAGAATGGTATCAATGAACATAAACACAATTGAAGCGTTGTTTTTAGTGCGACTACTAGGTATTAATTGGAAAATATTGAAATAACACAGGCACAAAAACCTCCCGACACCCAAAACAATCTAAAAGCTGAAAAAATTTCTATGCCCTTTAAATCAATTTAACTACTTAGTAATAGTTACACCCAGACAGTTAAATTAGAGGACCGCAGAGGAAATACATATTTTCATTATTATAGGTGCAAGAAGTCGAAAAAAAAAATGTTCTTATAATTGGGTATGTTTATTTATTGTCTGTGTGTGCTCTATCTGTCTCTAACTATTCTCACTTTCTATCAGGTGAAGATATGAACAAACTGTAGTAAATAAAGCAGAATAAATTTACAAATAAACGTCTGCACTAAGAATACATTGCTATCATACTCTCAAAGCATTGAAACCAAATTTAAATTTTCAGTGATAATGCTCTTTTTACTGACTGAAGAAAGCTTAAACAGACTTGTTGAGGTGTTCTTAGTCATAATTTTTTTTTTCTTGTAGAAGTAGTAGTGAATGTAACTTGAAGGGACGTTAAATTTTAGTAACACTAGAAACATTATGTATATAATAGCTTTTAACTTTCAACATATGTGGTTAACATAACATTAATAATCGTAACTATTAAGTAAATATATAATAAACAACAATTTGTAAGATACCTTCTAACATACTCATATTATTTTCAATAATTATATAATATACTTTGTTTGCTTTTCTGCAGTTAACTGTGCATTATTACAAACGAGGATCCTTTACGATTTTAGTTTATAATGCAGATTTATAGAGCTAATGATACCATAAAACACAGTGGTTGAATTTTGTTCTACGACAAATATTGACGAAGTTATGATCAAATTACTAAACAAATTGTCGCCGTAGCATGTCGCCGTGGTAGCCGCGTGGTGGCTGTGACGTCACAGAGCTCTAGCGCTCGGGAGCGAGCGTGCGTAGAGACGCCAGTGAAGTTCGACCGGAGTGAACCACGTTCGAGCTCTGTGACGTCACACGTTTCGGTCGCCGGTGAATATTGGCTACTATAAGGGTGAAGCCAAACGAGCGTAATTTTGTGAGTCGCTTATTTTCGGTCACTTATTATTTTACGTTCAACTGAATTTCTGTTGAGCTGCCATACGAACGTAATTTATTCAGTTACTATTGAGCGTTAGTACGGGGCGTTCGTGTCGTCGAGTGCAATGGATCCATTAAAAATATTGTGTATTTACGAAGCATATTCAGAAGATGAGGCCAGAAAAAGAAACTGGGTACCCACTGAATAGTCAGAGGCTGATATGTGGACAGTTCCATACTTTATATGAACGTTTATGTGCAAATCCAGATATGTTTGAAAAGTACTATCATATGCCATTACATGTTTTTCAAAAATTATTACACCACGCAACTTGTAACAAACTTTTGCTTCCCCACTCCCCTTCCTTGCCCTACCCTCACCCCGACCGAAATTCGGACGAGCTTATGCGCATTGAGTCGGCAGACAACTCATTTTGCGTTGTCGTGTGGCACCAACTGATACAAAAAGGTTGTATGAAACCGAATGCAGCAGAATTTCTGCGACCGAAATTCTGCGACTCACCACTCACAAAATTACGCTCGTTTGGCCTCACCCTAAAATGAGTTTAAAATCGGAACGAATTAACTGATTTCGATGATTTAAAAAGTATATTAATTAAAAATATTATTAGATAATTCTACTGTTGATTTTGAGTTGATTTGCTGTCCTAGTAATGATCCTCATTAGAATCAAGTATTTCGATATTGTTTTATAACTATTGCATGGCATAAAAGTTTTGGTTAGCCAATTTTCTTAAAAATAATCTTATATATAAAAACATGTTCTGAGCTGCATTACAAACCTAGCTCCAGGTGCAACTTTTTAGCCTTACGTTTAAATTTTGACATAAAACATGAAAGTTTGTCCAATTTGTCATTTGGTGCACATTGAGTGTAGGTTTGGAACGCAGCTCTGAGAGGCATACTGCATATTTAATGTTTACTAAAAAAGTAACTAAAGGTTAATTAATTGACTTACTGCCTTAGGTTTGTAATATATATTAAAGCATTTCAGTGGTTAGGTACTCAATCTGTTTCATTTATGGCAAGTTTTTCTTAATTATATGATAAACATTAAACAACCACAACAACAAGATAACATTTCAATTATTATAATTAATTTAGCATCTACTTAACTTAATCTAACCCTTCTTCATTTATAATAAAAGGGGGTGTGGGTGCAAATAAAATGTTCACAAGATTTTTTAGTGGCTCAGATTTCCATTAATTGTGGTGGTGAGTATCGAGCTGAAATTTTTGTCACGCAAAGTATCCATTATTAGAAAACACGTACACGAAATCTATTTGGCGGAAACGAATAGAACTCGAGAAAAAAAATATGAAAATTAATATTTCTTTATGTTAAAAGTCAATTGTGACAGCCATTTTGATCAGTGCTGCCATTTTTTCATGCAAAAATAACATGTTTCTCATTAGTCTATTTCAGCTCTGTGTCTATGGCCTGACCTTTGAGATTACCTCTCTCGATTATGGTGGTTAGGTAGGTGAGTACAGCTATTTCCTATCCTTTTCCTTTAACTTACTTACCTACTCTGTGTTTCTCTATAATCTGAATCTGTGCGTTGGCTAGTCTTGATCTACTTTATGACATGTTGTCTGTGTTCCTGACCGCCATCTTTTCTTTATGCGAATAAAGTAAAAGTAAAATAACACGTTGTGTAACGTTCGTTACAGGAATGAAGGTAAGTTTATCCTTTTTTTAGATTTCGAATAAGATATAAAGTTGTAAGTGTTATTTTCGATCTCGGGCTCAGGCCCAGACGATTTTACGAAAATGAGTTTTGGAATATCAAGTTTGGTCCGGGGGATCATGCCCAGACGGCTTTCGTGTGGTTAATCCTATTTGTGCAAAAATAGCATCCCGATAAGCTTGGCCCGACCGGGCATGATTTTTGGCCCGACTGGACGTGAGTTATGGCCCGACTGGACGTGAGTTATGGCCCGACCGGATGTGAGTTTTGGCCCGATCGGACCTGATCTCTGATCCGACCAGACGTGAGTTTTGGCCCGACCAGACGTGAGTTTCGACCCGACCGGCCCGGGAATTGATCCGGAATTTGCACCCAACCGCTTATGCCTGCTACACACATAACGATATATCGTAGCGATTTCAAACTGTGCAGATAAATCGAACGTTCCTAGTGACTCCACACGCCTTCGATATCGGCGTCGATTGTTTGTTCTCCGCAGAAGCTCACGCAAGAAACATGTCATCCACGATGGAAGATTATGACGCACTTGAAATTTTATTGAGTTATTTATTTTAGGTACTTCTAAGATTATTGATTGGCATTTGGTTCGATGGCTTTGTATTTTTCGACAAGCCTGTTATAGGCATTTTTTTTGTTGCGATCATGATAATCCTTCTCTTTCTTCTTCCGACATGTTGCCATTTAAGAGTCAGCCGCATGTGCGCACACTTGCGAGCTCCGTGAAGTACCTACTGCCGAACTGAGCGATCGCCATCCACACGCGACGATAAAACTGTGCAAACGCAATCGATAACGATTTATCTAATATAAATTGCAACTGCCACCGACGAACGATAATCGACAACGATTTGTCATACACACGTTCGATAAATCTGCGCAAGTCGATTTGCACAGTTTAATCGTTACGATAAATCGTTACATGTGTAGCAGGCATTATGATCTCTTATAACTTAATTCGATTCATGTGACTATAAATAGATAAATTGACAAGCTAAAATTATTAATAGAGCTGTCGAGCCTATAAGGGCATCGGTGCATTCTAGAGAGCAGATTTCAGATGCTCTATCAACCGACGTTGAATCACACCAAAACAGAGTAGTTAAAAGTTTGTCTAGATCAAACTCAAAGAATAAAAGGAGACCTAAAACAACTCCACTAATTAAACGAAAACGCACTAAGCGCCTAGTATCTTCTTCCGATTCAGAAGATTAAGCCAAAGCAAGGCCATCACTGGACCGTTCTCACTCGGCATCTCTAGCATCAAACTCCGTTAAATGCAGATGTTATTCTTCTTCTTCACATTCACCAAGAAGAGAGCACACTGATTCTCGACTCGATCGAATGGAAGGTATGATTTAAAACCGGCACGAAATGATGTCGGCTAACAAAGAAAATGAAGAGGAATCTCAAACCACGAGCTGGCGAGTACCTAGCCCTGGATTCGTCTTGCCATCCGTACCTGCTAGTACAGAGAAAAATAAATGAGACATTTTTGCGCTAGCTACAAAGGAAGCTGAACCATCTATACCTAGAGCCGAACTCGTACTATAACAACAAGGGATAATGTGTCATAACAAAATTGGATACGCCGATTCACAAAAAAAACTACAAGCCTCACCGTTGTTTAGCTGTTCACGTATTAAAACATTGTTTAAGCACTCACAACCTAGTCAGTTAAAGGATCTCCTCGGGAAATGTGATTCTGCATTTGGTGCCATTACACATGGCCTTTTGGGCCAGTTCCAGGAGGCTTTGAAGAAGTTAGCTGATCAACAACTAGAGGCCACGGGTAATCTGCGAAAACTGCTGCATTCAGGTAGTGATTTCCGCTCGATATCCGACGACTTACTTCACCTGTGGGAAGCGCGCAGAAATTATTGAATCGCGGCGGAAACTATATGAGCCTAGAAATAATTATTATAGATCAGTTCTCAGCCAAATCCCATCTTAGAGTACTCATTTGTGGGACGAAGAAAAACTCCAAGACGCTATTAAAACTACCGGGGTCACTAAAATTGTTCCTACTCCTCGTCGACACTTACCAAGCAAAGAAATAAAGAAGCAACAACGAGAATCTACCTTTACAAAACCAAAATAATTTCAAAATAAAAAAAATTAGGAACACTAATTTTAACTTCGTGAGCGCCAGCACAGAAATCAAGCTACAAGCGCCGGAACTAACTAAAAACGTCATACTTTTAAGGAAAGAAGTGGAAAAGAGAGACGACACTATTTTTGGCTATAGCGATTTTCGAGCGGGAAGACTAGCCAGCAACAGCTCGACGTAGAAAAACCTTAATGCTCCAAAAGCCATCATAAGCATTATAAAAGTTAACGTCATTCCGTTCGCACAAAAGCCACTGATATCATTGCTCACTGCATCAATTCTGGAAAAGTTTCAAACACCGGTTTCAAAACAAACACTCCGCAAATGAACCAAGAATTTATAAGAATGATAAGCCAAGGTACTTTGAAGAAATTGAATGCCAAAACTGGCTTCCTTTTCATGATGTTTCGTACACCAAAATTTTCAATTTAAAAATATTGAACGAATACTTCCGCATACAATAATTTGGACTCATGAATCATCGCAAACTAGTAACTTCTTTCAAGACACATCTCAAAAGTCAGGTCATAGGCACAGAGCCGAACTACGGCAAGACCCGAAATATCAATTTTTCTACTCTGAATATCTATTATGTTGGTACTCTTGTAACGACATATGGACCGCCATTTTGTGTTTATTTTGAGATCCGTCAGCAATTTTTGTGTTCGTCGCAGTTGAGAGGGTTTTCGTACTCCTGTTGATATTTACATCGTCTGACTACCATGGCGTCCTCAAAGCCCCCGGCCTTGAGTTTTGCTGTGCCTCCGCCTGAAGAGTCGAGTGTAGGCGAGTTTTGGACTCTAATGACCCGCTTGTGTCGAACACCACTTCAGTGCCCTTGATTGTACAAGTGTTGGACTCTAATGAGCCACTTGTGCACCCTGTTGGTGAGATGGAACCCATTGCCGGGTGCTCCTCTTCAGTACCCAGTGGCCAAAGCGATAAGCCCATTGCTGGGTGTTCTACCACTGCTGATATTGCTCCAATTGGATTATCTGAGTCCTCAGGTAAAAAATACATTTGCTATTATTTACTTGGTAAACTTGGTAAATAGAAAATAGTATGGGCTCAACACTTAGAAAAAAGTAAATGTGGCTTTACAACAATCTTTTATTCAGAACCGACTTGGTCAATCCCGACACGCCGTGGTCTTGGTCTGCTCTACCCCTAGAGTATATAGAGCCCGAAGGCGCGGAGGGAGAGCAGCCCCCGCCTGCTGTAACAAAGCCGTAAGCATCGCGCGACCCGTACCTACTTTTGATTTTTGCTTTATCTTTTAAAGTATTATAATTGTATTAATTTCTTCATTTCAGATGAGGATTCAGCTCAACTGCAGCAATAGGGAAGATGCAAATATAATATTTATGAAAATTTTATGATTAAAATGTTAAAAAAATATAAAAGAAAGGCTACTGCAACGTTTTTATTTTACATAATGTTGTTTTTTAACAATAATTACGAATTAAAAGTTACTTGAATAAAATGTATTTTAAAACACCAATCAGCGTTTAGTGACGTCACTACTGTTATGACAACTTATTTGAGGATAAGGTTGTAAAAGTGAATATTATTTTATGGGAATATTAATTGCGTTTTTTTGATAAAAATGGTAGTTGGGTTTATTAAAGCAGACTCCAGGAATTTACCAAGGGTTAGTGTTGACATGGTTGCAACTATTTTTTTCCAAAGTGCAGAGTTGTCAAGTGTAGAAATGAAAGTGTCAATTTAAAACCGCATTTTTTTCCGATATATTACAATGTTTTAATTTTTTATTATATCTGTGGTTTATTCTACATGGAATTCTTTAAAATAAAAATATTGCATCTTCCCTATCATGATCTTCTGGAAGGCGAATCCATTTATACTGTGAAGAGGTTCGTCTACAGTGGAACTTGCAACTCGCATTCGGTTTGCGGAGGAGAATGGACTTGTGCCTCGTGAAAAAATGTGTTCTTATCACAGGCGTCCGATGAGATTGGTGCGAATTTTACAAAATTTTGGAATATTTAGGTGTTCGTCAGTTATATAACTGAAGGAGGAAAACCTATAGCCAGGCCCTAGGAACCTGGTTTAAACAAGCATGGTTACCAATAACGACCGTGTTTAAACTAATGTATTTACTCGTACTCAATGGAACATACGAAGATTTGGACGTGAGACTTTGAGAATGAATTTAGAGAAAATACAGTTCATCATTCAGGACAACAGCTGATTGGGTCAGCTATTGTCGGGAAGCAACTATGCAAGCAAAAAGAAAAAGAAATACCAATGATCGTTGGCCCTGGAAAAACATCCAAATTGATGAATCAAAGTTTGAAAAATGCAAATATAATAGAGGACGTCATATTGAGGGCCACTGGGTCATTCCTATGGTGGAGGATAGCAGTGAGGACTTACTGCTAGAAGTTTGTCCCGATAACGAGCGGTCAGTGGAAACATTAATACTCATCATCAAAAAACATTTTCGGGAGGGCTCCATTATCTATACAGATCTCTGGAGAGCATACGATTGCCTTCCCAAACATAGGCATACCCATCATAAAGTTAATCATAGTGATCAGGAAAATAGATTAATTGCTCCCGATGGTACACATGCCCAGAGGACAGAGAGCCATGGGCAGGTCCTCATAAGAAAATTTATTATAAGTAATATTAAAGGGGAATTTGCCGATTGGGTAGTGGAGACATCGTGGAAAAGAAGAATTCAAATTGAACATAAAGACCTTTTTACTATAATTATTATAAATAAAAAAAGTAAAAAAAACTTGTTTTCTTTTTTTTACTTTCTTGTTTTACCCCTCTCATTTTTAATAATAATTTCTGTAAAAAACATAGCCGCGAAATTCCACCACAATTAATGGAATTAAGTAAGAACCATATGTTGATTTTTAAGAAAAGTTATTATTTATTTGTTATTTCAGAATAGTGAAATTGCTGCTAATATTCTTATTAAATAAACAACCAACAACATTTTTCATTCTGTCAAATAGCCTATTAAAGAATATTTTTGGAAATTTTGCAACTGCTTCCTGTTCAGAGTTCACGGTAAGACAGCAGATAAAAAAATTAAAACAAAAACCATTAAAACATATATTAATGACAACTTCAGGCCTAAAAGTTTTAAAATCTCTGTTTCTAAAGAACTGTGACTTAACTCTAATCTCTAAAAGTTAAAGTGGTAATGGATATAATTCTGTTTTCATTCATGGCTGATTATGTAATAATCCTTCATCATCAGATCTGGAAACCCCACACACTTCTATAGTCTATTCACAATGGCGTGCGACAAAATGAAAACAAACCATAAAAAGGATACCTTTTATGGTCATGTTTGACAAAAGTAAAAATTAAATACTATTTACATAGGCAATGCAGGGAAACATTATGTTAATTATTTTAAAAGCTGGTACATACATATGAATAAGAAAGTAAAATTTTTCACACATATTTAACGTACATACTCATCATAAATTCGTATATTTTTATGTTACTCATAAAAACACAATCATTCCCAAACTTAACACATATTATAATATGACAAAATTTAAGAGTAGACATGATATAAGTGTTTTACGTTGAAGTGTTGTAATCGGTTGGTTTATGTCAGCCATCTTTACTTCCCGATCAGCCTGTTGACGCAAGCGTGCATATTCTATCATATTTGTTCAATTCTTGTTATTTCCTTATTTTATTTGTTGAGTTTGTTGTTATTTTTTTATGTTAAGTTTGAAGTTGTTAATAAATTATACATAACATAAATTATACGTAATCATTGACTAGTGAGTACTTTCTGACTTTAAGAAAATTATAGAACATCAGATTATTTGTTTACATTTTGTCTCACGCCAAAGTCAAAAGACTATAGTACTTCAAAGGAATAGCTTCAAGATCAGTGAAATCAACTAACCAGAAGTAACCAGAAGGTAATGAGGTGATGTGCAAGTGATATTCTAGATACCATCAAGCAGATACCATACCATAAACTAATATTGTAAACAGGAAAGATTTGTATGTTGCAGAGCAACTCAAAAACTACTGAAACTACAATTGAAAAAATAGCCCTAAATAAAATCTAACTTGACATTTGGTAATAATTTTCACACTGTGATAGTGATCAGTATAAAATTTAGCATTTTTAAATGACTATCATTTACTGTTAACTTACTCATAAAGGTCTATAGATATTCACATGTTTAGGTTGTAAATTTTAAATGATACATACTTACAGGATACCCTATCAATCTAATCTCTCCAAAGATTACACATCAGTCGGAAGTATATCTGGTATCAGGTACTGACAGAGATCCATCTCTGAATTTACAAAAGTTACCTTGCCTGCAGTATTTTCATCAAGCCTGAAAATATAAACATATTTTATATTTGCTATTTCTGCATTAATAACAATTCACATAATATGTCAAACAAAGGTAAAGACAACTGTTAAATTTTATGGAGCTATTTGCTTCTATACTATTGATACTAATATTTAAACAACATACCAGCCCTTTATTACAGCCCAGCAGCCAGAGAAGAATGTTGGAGCATTGATAATGAGGCAGACTCCCAACCTTTCCGGATAGTGCCTGCTTAACAGCCATATGAGGTTTTTCAAAACCTGATAATCCATGCAAGACAGAGTGAAGTTGTTTAGATCAAAAACAATACAAAGATTGTCAATGACTTCTTCAAAACATTTATTACTTGCATCTTCCTTAAAATAAAATAAAATATTTTTTTTTTCCTGGTCTTAGTTTACTGTTAGGAGCAAAAAAGAGTAACTAAAAACAATAGAATTTGGAGGTTGAAAACAGTTTTAACTATATTAATCAAACCTAATGAGTGAAATTAAAACTGTTTTTATGTTTTATTGACACAGTGCAAAAATAAAGTTTAATGAATAATAAATTACCAAGCAACAAACAATAAATTTGGTTAGTTCATCAATGTTTCTATCACTGGAGCTATGATTCTTAGCAGGTATATAAACAATTGGTCTGCCAACTATATCCCGATGCCTCAATACCCGTGCTTTGTTAGCATACTTTTCTATTAATTTCTTGTCATTTTGTAACTCTGGAACTCCATATTCTATTCTCCATTTATTGGTTTTTATAATAGCCTGGAAATTCTAAAATATATTAAAATTTAAAACAAAATATGTACTCCTGAAAGATGGTTAGTACAATGAATCAATTTTTTTTTAAATTCGATATTACTATCAGTCCTTTATGATTTTTATCAATTTTGTTGCATGTGGAATGACTTTCAGAGTTCACACAATATTACATCTTTTGAGTCAGTTGGTTGTATTAGAGATATCAGCAAATCAGTGACCAGCGGGTTTAGGTGCATGGTTAGTCATTGCAAGTATTTTTCCCTGCAGCCTTGTATTTATTCTATTATAGTAGGAATAACTAAGTTCTCATGGATTTCGCAGTTCCGTGCAAAATAGATAATGATTATCTATATGATTTAAAATTATGTATGTTTGTAATGTATATGGTCAAAAACTATTGACTAATTTCTAAAGTTCTTTCACCATTAGAATTTTCACTATCTCTGAGTAACATACGCTATATTTTATCGCGTTAAAATGGTCCTTAATAAAATCAATACTGCAGAGAGATAAGCTTCGAGTGGGATTTGTTTACCTGGAAAGCTTGATCAACAGTTTTAAATGCTCTGAGATATCTTCTCAATGAAAAGTCATTGTGGTATTGAGCTGGATCGGCACTGACGATTAAATTCATCCTATTTTTTAACTCTTTCAAATCATTTTCGTTGACTGGCTTATGTTCATCTGACATTGTCTCCGATATTGTTGTAGGGGACAAAATATATACGAATTACTTTATAGACTTTTCTTATTGTAGTATGTTGAAGCTTCAATATTTATCAATATCAAAATTCTAGAGAAAACCTGCACAAAATCCTGTTTTTTGTTCTGTGGCTGTTTCCGTTTGACACAGAATGCCTAAAGTTCGTACAACTGCTGCTGTCACTGTCACTGCTGTTTTATAAATTATTTTACCCATTCTGTGAAGGCAAAGGGAAAGTGACACTGCTTAAGTGCTGAGTAGCGTTCAAAACTTACGCTCCAGGTCAACGATACTCGAACTTTTTTTAATCGAGCCATACAATAAGGGGATATTGCCATAAAAATACTAAACTCTGACTGGGCCACAGACACCTCAATTTTTTTTTCTTTGGTATCTTTTGGTAAAAGCTATTCTATATGGAGAAACTGGATTGCACAATCTAAATTTCATAAGCAGTTTTAAAATCCCATACAAAGTAGTTTGCTGTAAATCACACGATACGGTAGCAAGTACCTATTTAGTCTAACTGACTTTTCTGAAAATTGGAAATCCATGGTATTTTAAATATGATGCCACTCACAGCTTGAGTTACATAATTAGAATTCGATTATTTCTCGTCTATGTTTCTTTAAACATAAGCATGCGAAACTTCGCAGTCGAAAATAAAATACTTAGGTATATCAAAAACATTTATTTACACAAATTGATTGAGAGAGGTTGTTTTCGTCGCCTACTAAGAGAGTCTCTTCAGCGCGCGTCAGAGCGATCGCCATCACTACCGACCCGAAGTGGCACATTAAGGCCTCATCCACCAAAAGGCGTTTATAGGAGGCCTCTTCGTCCACTCCGTTTGCCAGCAGTGATGCCATCGTTCTCCCTCGCTTCCTCGCGCTAGATGGTCCGATACGCGGCGCGAGTCTTTCTCTCAGGTCGGCGACTGCCTCCTTGGTGTTGGTTACAACCAGGTCCGTCTCAGGCTTGAACTGCCTCAGAATCCAGGAGGTCTTCCCGCACCCTGGAACCCCATTTATCCACCGGATCCGCGGCCGTCCCCAGTCCACCACCACGCTGCCGGAGTCCAGGGCCCCGGTGATGGCTTCGGCCCTCGCCAGGATCCTGTTCTCCAGCAGTATCCTAGTGGATCTGGCGACGACGACCACCGATCCGGCGGATGGGGCGCAAAAGGCCACCCGATCCCCCACCGTAGGATCACGCTCCACAAAACCAACGCCTTCGCAGTAAGCCGCCATGTACGACCCTGACATTTCTCCGTGTAAAACACTTCCATTGTCGTTGTCGTACAGTGCGGCCTCCGCGTCCTTCAGCTCAGCTCGCAGCCACTCCAAGTTGCCTCTCCTGTACGTTAAGAGGATGGATTTACATACATCCTCATTAACTTTCAGAGTGGCCCTTGTCATGGCTACGAACTCAGCGAGCGCGTTGATCATGCGGCCCGATTGATCCGAGGCAGGCACGTATTTTGGGGCAGTCACTCGCCCTTTATCGGCCAGGGTCCGCGCTGGTCTTGTTTGCGCGGTACCCGATGTAGACGGTCCAGGTGTGACGGAGGCTTGCCCAATCGACGTTCCCCTTGTGTATTGTGATGTGACTGTGTGTTTGTGTTTGTGTTGTTTGTATTCAGAGGGGGGGGGCCCGAGACACGCACTTTAGAACAGCTTTAATAAGGGGATGATGACGTTTCCCTCCTCTTTCCTTCGATCCGGCCATCTCACGCCCGGCCAGAACCATAGCATGTTCATTATCCATCCGTTCCTGGAGTTTCTCGGAGCCGCTGATCCTTGGGCTCCGGGCAACCCCCACTGGTACCAGGGACAGGTCAGCTTCCACGCCCATGGTATTTCGAGGCGGCCAGGACTCCTAAGTAGTCACTCACCTCTCCCTTCACGTAGCCCACCACCATGGCGTCGACACTGACCTTCCCCGGGGAGTGTCTGCCGGTTCCCTTGTTCCCATCGCCGTCAGCACCTTACACACCCGACTAAACCCGGTGTCAGCGCTGTCGTCGTCAATGTCGAACAGTGCGACGATCTTATTCATCTTTCGCACTATCCGACACCGCTCGCCGTGCACTTCCACCAGGGGTAGTGCGTCGTATACCTTACGACGCATGGTGATTTTTAAGGAGCTGCCGTTCATCAAGGAACCGAGACCCGGCGAGACGTAGATGTTTGTCTTGGCCCTGGCGTTGCAGAAACTTATGCCCACTCTTTCGGAGTTATTATCCATAAAGGAGTGGGCCCCTCGTATCCGTATCCCCGGCCTCCCCCTCTCACTGCATGGCAAAATTTCAAACTCTTGTATTACTCTTGGCTTTGTGCATTGATATGTTTGTTGAGTTATGGCTGTTGTTGTATAGCTGTTAGGTAGTTCCCTATTTCTTTTTGAAGCCACTTCGGCAACCGTCTGAATATATCCTAGCAGATGCTGTCTGGTGGTCTTTGCTCCTAGCAGTTCCCCCAAGGTTTCCCTTTCAACTTTGGCCCCCGTGACGCATTCCAAGTTGAAGCGTGCCAGGGCAAAGCGAGGGCATTCCAGCAGAAGATGCCAAATCGACTCACTCAGGTTCGGGTCACATTCGCACCCCGGTTCCTCCCTCAGCCTGAACCGGTGCAAATATTCCCCGAACCCTTCTATCGTTTGTACCACGGCGAGTGTTCTGAGGAGTTATTCTCTCTTATCCCACCTTCCCCTTTCCTTTAGAGGACCACGCGCGCTGGCCTACGTTGTCACCGTTTTACTGTGGCCACAATTCCAACGCGTACAAAGAAATTTGGTGACTCATTTCTTTGTCGCACTATCCGTAAATGGAATGCTCTGCCCGCTCACGTGTTCCCTCCCTCTTACAACCTGGGATCCTTTAAAAGAGGCGTGAAGAAGCAACATGCAGGCCGGCAGGGTGAGGATGGCTGGTGTGGCAGGTAGAACTGCTGTATCAGCTATCTTCGCGTCTGGACTTCACCTTCACTTAACATCAGGTGGGGTGGAGTCATTTGTCGGACCTAACTATAAAACCCTCCGTGTCCCGTTAAAACCTGGATGTGGTGATAAGTTAGATTTTCCTCCTGGACTATCTTATAGGCGTTTTTGACATCCGGGAAGAAGGTTTTTGTCACCATGCCAGTGGAGGAGGAGTCGTATCGATCCTGCCATCGAGCTAGAGACTCCTGCCTGATACCCCTTTTGACATGGGACAACGGGACTTCGTCGTAGTCGGATCTGTTGTTGAAATTTTTGGCAAAGAGGGCTTTGGCCAACTCGTCTGCCCCTCTCGTTACCCCCAGTTCCAACATGCGCGCGAATCCAGCACAGCCTCACCGTCCTCCCGGTCCCACGGATATCCGCTAGATTCTTCTTTATGGCTCTGGCCAGAGGGTGCAGCGTTATAGGGTTTGAGAGCAACTCCAGTGACGATCGAGAGTCACTTAAGATGGTGATAATGCTCGAGTTGCCCTCTTTGGCCCTTTGCACCGCCCTGTGCAGAGCATAAAGCTCTGTTTGGAACACCGTGCACACCGGGTCCAGACTGAAGATGTTATGAAGGGCCTCGACGCCACCCTCCCACCACGGCAGAGCTGCCCCTACCCCGCCATCCATTTTGCTCCCATCAGTGTAAATAACTGGTCCAGCACCATGGATGGCCGATAGGGTGCTCTCGGTGACATCGTCGAGGATCTCATACAAAGGTATTATAGTATGAGCAGGGTGCGGTAGGTCTTTCGGTGGCACCCTCTCCTCAATGTGTCGTCCCGGTGGCAAGAATGAGTCGTCGAGTCCCCTCTTCGCCCGGTACAATGCGGCCGTCTCCTGGATCCGCAGGTCTATCGGCAAAACTCCCGCCAGGGATATACCTCGTTAATATTCTCAAAATAGCATGTTGTAAAAAAAGTTTGCTCTCATTTTTAAACGTGATAAAAAAGTTTTTAGTTTATTGAATATTTATGTACAGTGTTGAGAGCTCTTAAACCCCACAGATAGACGGAGAACGGCCCGATGGTCTGACATTGGTGCCGTGAGAGAGAGGACGATTTTTGGTATGGGACGTGACGTGTATCAGCACTTTCACCGCTACCCACATCGGCCGCACTAGCGCCTGAGCATCAGGCGGCGGCGATGCGCTTAAAATATTCCCCGTTAGGACAATGATAATATTTTATGCATTTGGCGATGGAAACGGCGAGCTGTTGGAGCGCGGTAACCAAGTTTGTGTGAGACCTGGGTCGCCGACTCAGGCAAAAAATTGATCACCTTCCCTCCGGGTAGTTTCCGGTACAAAGACTGTCTATTGCCTTCAGGCGTGGCAATTCTGCAAGCATAATGGGCACCTTTGCGTATTTGACGATATTTAAATTAATTGAATTTTATTGAAATAATATGAATTATAATTTAATGAGGGTCCGGGAGGAGCGCCGCAGACTTAATTGGCGATACGTCTGGACAAAGCGAGGCCGCATTTTCGTTCGCCAGGGAGACGGAAAACCCGCTCTCCATATTCGCAACGACGAGGACATGGTGCGGGTGTTTGGGCCTGCGCCGGCGCTTGAAAAATGACTCCCAGGGGCCTGCATTTGTTATAGTGGAGAAAGTTACTTTTACGTGGGTTATAATGCATTCTTATCATTTTTTATGATAGTCGGTACCATATTATATATGGTTTCACTATTTATTTTCGATGTACATATTTTAAATATTTATAAATCTCCTGGTTCTGTAATGTGTTTTTATCATGTAAATAAAACCACAGTTGCAGTATATTCTGCATTTAATGTGATACTAAGTACATTGCTCAATTTAATTGGATGTCTCAATGTCACGCTTTTGCTTAAATTTAACACTGCATATTTATTTTATGTCCTGTGCCTATTGCTAGCATGTTTATATCAATATAATTACTCTCATCGATTCACAAACTCTTATAACAGCTTCCATGGCTTCATAGTGGATAGCTTTATTTCTAGTTTTATACACACAGAATGTTTGGAAATTTTAGTCACAAATTTAATTTAATGATTTCTAGTAATTTCAAAGTTGGTGTTTTTAATGCTGGCTCCCTAGGCACAAAACATGAGGAGTTTATTGTGGCTATGGAGGAATTAGATCCAGACATTATGGCAATTAATGAAACTTGGCTGAGAGCGGACCAGAGTGGCAGAGCTCCCAGTTTG